TATCATAAAAGCCTTCATTTCTACCGTTATAAAACATGTAGAAAATTTCTTTTTTTGTAAAGCAATAGTTCTCTATCCTTACATTATAAAATCTGCATTAGACGAATAAAAAGAGAATCTGTCTAATTATAGGAAATTTTTTCTCAGTTCAAAAAAGTTGCGGAAGAGTTTTCTGATGCCTTCTGTTCTAAGATTGTTGTGGTCTTAGAAAAACATTTCCAATTAAATTCTTTTATATATTTTTGCACTAGACACTTTGCTCTTTCTAACAAAAAACAGTGAAGTCTCTACGACATTGCGTTCCAGAGTTATATCAAAAACAAAATTAATGCAAAACTTTTGCCCCACCCATTATTCAAAAATGAAACATCATTTTCTAAGAGCTATTATAGAGTCATAAGTATGATAAAAAAATTGGTGTAAAAAGTTTTTCCAGCTAGCATGAGGCGTAACCACCAAGCAGTTACTTTCTAGATGCGCTGCCGTCTAAAAAGACTTTCTGATAGTCACTGCCTTCAGCCGCTATTTTGGGAGTGACACCGTCCTCCGCACTATCACTACCTCGTTTTTTCGGCGTGATTCATATCTCTGATTTACATCACACAAAAGCCTATTGTCATTTAAGAATTAAAAGATGATCGTTTGCAAAAAAAAAAAATTAATGTTCAGCAAACACTATTCTGAAGCGATGCTATTAAAATAATGAATATTCCATTTCTGGTAGAAAATCTATTGTAAGATATTTAATTAGCATTCATTCGAATACCGTAGCACAAACAAACATGAGTAGATGGCGATGTTATCTAGCAATGATGTTTACTACTTATCATTTTTTTTCTTGTTATAAGAATATTTAGTTGACATTTGGATACATGAAAAACAAAGTTTTTTGATTCAAATAATAATTGATTCTTCATCGTTTTTAGTTATTTCCAATAGAAAATATGACGGCACTTCTTCTTGGAGGCTAGCAAATGGAATACGATTAGTTTATTACTTCTCGTTACAAAGTATTCTGTCTTGCTCATTGATATCTGCAGAATATGTTCTATTTATTGTGTATTATATAAGCACGTGAGATATTTTTTCAACGACATATATCTACTATGTATGAAAAATGCTTTTAATAGAAACATTTCATTCAAAACAAATGTGTGTACACCTATATTTTAAAACCAATAAATGTATTTTTCCTTGACAGATTGATCAATCAAGCGTGATCAGGCAATATTTTTCTGTTCTTCAATCATTTAACTCTACCCTAGTATTTTTGATCACACGTGAATAACTACTTAGTATATTATGGCCAACGAACAAGTAATAAATCGTAATAAACAAGAAATGTCTACAAACAATGTATCAAATAGCATTCAGTAAATAATCTATTTTGAAATCCAAGTTTTGCATTGATTAGTTTTTGTTTAGAAATTCTGATAAGAGTAAAGATGCAAAATCATCCAATGGGATTACTATTCCTATTCAAATAGTTTTATCAATTGCATTAGGCATTATATTCGGTTTTTTAATGAACAAAGCAAATATTTATCTTGCTCCAATGATTCGGGAGCAAATGTTATTTACACGCTTAGCAATGATTAAAATGTTTCTTGCTGCTGTTGGAATGTCAATGTTAAGTGTAGTTTGTATTATCCTTATTAATGAATCAACCTATAGAAATGTCTTTAATGGATTTATTAAGCGTAACGAGCGTATTAATGGTAAATCACTTAAAATATAGAATTATTCATAAATATTTCTGTTAGAGATTCAAAAAAAAAAACAATTTAAAACGGTGAATTTCTTCATGCAAACTTGTTTGCTTAGGCATACGCTGAGATTTTATTTAGAAAAATAACTTGTAATAAAATATTGATGGGAGTATATGTCTTTAATCAATTTTGTAAAGATAAAATGAATTGTCTTTCTGAAACAGCTGCATAATCATGAGAGAAAAATACAATACTAGGTTCTAAACTCATTTAAGAAATTTAGTTCCGTAGAGAATCAGATGAATTTTTTGACAAAAGGTATAGCTACATTCAACAAAATCAAAGCACATACTGTGCTGATTACATAAAGAACAAAGCCATTTGTATTTAATTAAAGAAAAATATCCAAGGACATTGGAATTCAATATCATTCTAAAAGAATGCTTGTTGTAACCATCGTACTAGATTCTTACTAAGAATAGCATTTAAGTTGATATCATATGAAATTCCACTAGTGATAAATAAAATGTGTCAGTTTTCTTAAGACTGTTCTATTAGAAAAAGTTCGAATAGCAATTATTTTCTTTAGCTTTTCATCTTATTATGGGTGGCAGTCTTATTGGAGTCGGCATGGTTCTTGCTGGAAGTTGTCCAGGAACAATATTTGTTCAAATGTACGCAATCTTTTTGATGTTTTTATTGTGTAGTCAAAATTCTTTGTTTTGCTTAGTGGATCAGGTCTACGAAACTCTCTTATAACATGTCTTGGTGCTATCTGTGGAGTGTTGTTTTATTATCTATTTCTTCATAAACTTTTGACAAAACATGAACTGCCAAAATCATCAATAGTTCTACAGCAACTTCCAGATTTAATTGGTATAAAACGTATTTATGTGAATTTAATATTTGGTTTAATATGTATTAGTATTGCATTTATTCTTGAATATTTTTTTCCCTATAAATATGATTTAACTAAATCAAGTGGATTTCATAGTCTACATGGTTGGTCACCAGCATTATGTGGTATTGGTATTGGCTTGTTGCAATTATTTTTCATGATTTTATTTAAAAAATCATTAGGTATATCAACAGGATTTTCTGTATTAGTTGCACAAATATGTCGTGTACCAGTTTTTAAACAATTAATACCATCGTTAGAATCATTCACTTACGGAATACAAAATACGTTGACATTATTATTTGCATTTGGAGCTATTGTAGGAAGTTTCATTTCAACAGTTTTAATGAATCAATTTCCTTTAAATGAAAAATATGGTGCAAATGCTTGGAATAGTTTTTTCGGAGGATTTTTGTTATTAGTTGGTGCACGTTGTGCTGGTGGTTGTACAAGTGGACAAGGGATTTCTGGTAAAATGCTTTTTCCTACCTTTTGAATTTTAATCTTTTTATGAATTATTCAAAGGTGTTTCTCATCTTTTGATTGGCTCTCTCATTGCCACTGCAGCAATGTTTGGTGGTGGGATAATTTTTGCTGTAAGCTATGGCTTGATAACAAACGACTGGCAATTTCATGCTTTATAATAGAACATTAAATTTATATATATATTTTTCTGTAGTTCGTTTTTTGATTGAAATAACAATAAATATTTAAATAAATCAGCGTAGAAAAATGTTCATGTGCATATTGTTTAAACTATATCGAATCAAGATTGTTTGACAACTAGAAAGATTTAAAAAAAGGTGAAAAACGACGTATGTATTGAAATTTGACACGCTTCGAAAAAATGTATAAACGAAAACTTCATTGGTTTCCATGATAAGCGGAAGATTGTTTAAAAACCATCTAATTAAAATAATAAGATACAAGATTTTTTATTTATCTAAATATTATGTTTATGGTTAATTGAATGTCATTGTAAAATAAAATTGCAACAAAACATGTAACGTATGAATTATTATAGTTCATGGGATTTGTATAATGACATTTATCAAAGAGGAAGTCTAATTTTTCGTAATGAATCTATTGAAAACTATTATATGAGAGGACCAGTAGATATATCTACATATAGAAGATGATAGAGATATAAGGATTATAAGAGAACAAAAAACCATCAGAATATTTTTATGCTAATCAATCGCACCACTTTTTTAAGATATTGTTTTAGTGTTAATATTTCTTTTTGTTTGTAACGCTTTCCTAAAATATCACTCATCCATATCCACATCTATCCACTTGCCATTCTTGAGCACTGTCAGAGTATCTATGGCAGCTAAAGACATATAAGCTCGGTCCACAATTGTCAGAAAATAAAAAGATATACTTCTTCATCGCTTCGGCAATATTCAAGTCTTCCATATAATGTGTTGATGCAAACATACTTTCTAGTTCCCATCCTGTTGAAGTTGTGTCAATATTAAATGCTTTTTTTCTTCACATAGCTATGAAGGAAAGAAGAAAAAAAAATCAACAGAAATATTTATCGATAAATCCTTCTTCTTGTCTTCAGTGTATCATTGATTACCTTTAGTGGTGAAAAAGGCGCATTACGACTGGCTCATTTTTCAATGTGTTTTGAAGTAAGAAGAAGAGTCATTTCTTTTATCAATAACAACCTATTGTGAAAATGGAGAACATATTGGATAAAATATCCTTCAATTTGAGACTATTTTACTAGATACAAACAGTTCATTGAATGTGAAAGAGTTTGATTCATTTTCCGATGTATGAGAGAAAGTCACCACTATGTCAAAGGTTGCATGGTATATAGCATTATATTAGGTCTGAAAAAATCAGCAATCTTTACTCTTAACTACGAGTGATCAAAGGATTATTTCTATCGAGTTTTCTCTTCTTGTTGAATAGTTTCAGTAAAACCAAGTAATGTCAAGTTTTCACCGTATCCGTCAATCATGGCGTCGATCATTAGGTTATTTGGGTCTATTTGGAGTCACAACTGTTAGCATCATCAATGTCACATCGCGATATAATGATAATATTCAAGTGCACGATGCATTTTCAAACCATACACGTCAACAACACGAAAAACATATCCTATCGGAAATGCACGATCCATTCATTACTACAGATTTACATGAATTAGAACTATTTCAGAAACATTTTTCACAATTCTCGTATCTGTTTTATACGAATCGTGATATCCTGAAACAAAAATATGCTTTAAAGACTCCTGTCAAGATTCGACCGCTTAAAGAATGTCCTGTTCAATGCCAATCATCCTTTAGTAGTCAGAAAACACTTATTGTTGGAGGTCCACCAGCATTAATCACTGGCGTCTCTATGGTGAAAACAGGAAAAGATTTAACTTATATCAATGACGAACGTCGAATACCGATCGCTTTCGGTTCTGCTTGGCATCTGGAACAAGACGCAAAAACAGAGGCACCAACTACTTATCGACCCACGCAATTCTTAATCGAACAACTAGTTCGTACAGCATTTCGATATGTCAGTTACACATCGATTCAACAAACTGGCTATTTTCCATGGAGAACAGTAGACTGGATTGGCTGGCTACAGCATCCTGATCATTGGTTTACTGGATTTAAAATATCATTAGCCTTTCAATGGGTCACCATGTTCGAAGATCGAACGACAATGCTGAAAAAAATTGCTGCACAATGTATTGCCAATGAGAACTTTTTCGAACAATTAGATCAGGAACTAAATGGTAAACTTCTATTGCAAGAAAAAGGATCAATTATCGTCGCTCGAACGAATGAAGAAGTTTCAACACTACAAGAGTTGCAAGCAGATTTAGTAAATGAAGGAAGAAATTTGAGAATTTTATCCAAGGAAGAAATACTACAGCGTTATGGTTTCCTTCCACATGGTCTAATGTACGGCGAAAAAGAACATGATAGAGTATTGTTCGCAAACTTTATGAAAATACTCAATGATTCTATTCGAAACCAAGGAGGCAACATCATTGATGGAACACTCATAACGATCTATGTTGATGATCAGCAGTCAGGAGGTATTGCTGAATATGGTACACCTGATGGGCAAAAACATTATCTTGCATTTTCTCGGTTAATTCTATCGCTAGGTACTCAGCCAATCATTAACAAAAATAATAAGCCATTGTTTGATGTCGTTGCCGCTCGAGGAGTATCGGTACTGGCACATGTTTACATACCTTCAGAATATCGACTTCCACCTGTCATAGTTTGTGGTGGAACAAACCATGCGACTAAATTATCCGAAAATCCTGTGCAAGTAAAAGATTCTCATGGAAAGACATATGATTTATATTTGATGCGGTTTACCGCTGGCGCATGTATTACACCAAATGTTTCTGATGAAAATGCAGCCAACTATGATGGAACGATTGCACTCGGTCTAGTCACCGCAGTACGAAGAACATTGGGTGAACTGTGCCGAATTGAACCACTCGTTGTTCATGGTTGCAATCGACAAGTCAGTCGTTATGGACAGATTTCTTGGATTGAACCATATCCCGGAATTCATGTGCAGTACGGAGCAGCTGGAGGTGGTCTTACACGAGCGCCGGATTTTGTAGCACCACCATCATCGCATAGCTCGTCTCCTTGATCGTTCCGATTCTTAACACGCGTATTATAATCATCGATATAGATTTATTGTGTTAAACTAGCAAGGGAAAATATCGTTTTAGAATAAATAGAACAGTAGTATTTTAATTCTGAAAACACAATCAGTGATTAGGTGCTATATGGCTCAAACAGGAAAAATTCTTTTTGTATCGTTTGTCATATGCTGACATCAAACACTGTAGATCTATGAATTTCTTTGAGAAAGTAGAAAAGATGGGTCAAAATCTACCAAATCCACTAGCTAGCAGTCGGCTGAGTATGAAAATTTCGACTCATTTATGTTTTATATTTTAATAGTGTTTCAATTCCAAACCAAGAAAATCAGATATAGTGAAATGAAATCGAATTTACGCAATTAATCATCAAAATCGTCTATATGTGATAGTATTCATTGTTCGAGTAGCTGATAAATTTTGAAACAACGACAAAGAAAAATGATGAGAAAGTATTTCGCTCTATTTTGAGGAAAGGGTAAGAGCCAACAACAAGACAAATATTATCTTTCTCTTCTATATCAATTTCTCACGTGTTAATATGGTTTTGTCCTTTCAGTATCAAATATCTGACTACCGTTCTGCTTTCTTTATGTTTCGATCACGTCAACATACAGCTGATAGTTTTCTGTTGAAATATTCTGTCAATACAACCCAGTATAAAAAGTGTGTCCTTTGTGTAAAAACATGAACTGATCTTTGATGCAAAATGCATCTAGTTAATCGTGCATCTACCTTATCATGCTTTTGATGTATCAGTGTCAGTAACGACGCAACATACTATGAGCATCCACTTCATTGGAACAGAAATAAGGAGAACATACGAATAAATCGAACGGATTCCAACGTCTTCTGCATGATATATGTCTGATTGAAATGCACTCATATAATCCATCTTGAACTCACATATGCAGAGGGATATACTTCGAAATGAAAATAAATTTGAAGAAATGACGAAGATTTTGCTGTTTTTTCTTTTTTCGAGCAAGTAGCAAGGCCGATAAAAAGTGTACGGCACAAAGAGATTTCTATTTTGACTCTCAAACTGTCTTAAGTAATTGTTATCTTCCAGCGAAAAAATATGTCTTTTATAGAGATGAAGGAACTAAATACAGAAACTTAGACCAATGCTTCAATAGGGTGTGAAGATGGTTACGAGTATAGGTAAAAGGTGAATAGAATTGGTGCACATATATCAACATTCACACTGTACTGTAGCTGAAGGAGTAGTTCAATATATAAGGAGAATTTTCACTTCATTTCACAGCCATCTTTGCCAAGAACTAAGTAGTATATCGTAGAGAGAATCCAAGAAAATAGTTTTCAGTCGAGTAATTACAAATAACTACGTGTATAATGAGGAAAAAAAACAAGAATAACATCAACAATGTTTCCCTAAAACAATTAGGCTAATGAATGGAGAAATTTTTGAGATTCAATTAAGAGTGCACCTCCCCTCTTTTTTGACTATTTCTGGATCTCAAAGACGGTAAGTTCGATCGAATTGAAATTTTTACTGCAGATAGAACACTTACAATGATGAGACACTTGTTTGAGGAAAAAATTCTCTAAGGCGGTTTTCATAGTTTTTTATGAAAAACCTTGGTTTTCATAGGTTCTCACCTTGCCAAGGACAATCCATTTCTAACTTTGTTCGATTGGGCTGAACATTTTTTTCGGGATAGCTACGACTATATCTCAGAGGTAGTTTGAAACTTTTTCAAAAATTTCACTTTCTTTTTTTTTATAAAAGAATACGTAAAACTTTTGCCAGAACCAAGTTTTTGATCTTCAGAACCCTATAAATCTGGAAGGGAGGGTGAGAAATGAAAACAGCCAAAACTACCTCTGGAGAATACTTCAAAGTATCTATGGTAAAAATTTCAGCTCGATCGGACAAAGTTAGAAAGGGGTTGTCCTTGGCAAGGTGAGAACCTATGAAAACCAAGGTTTTTCATAAAAAACCATGAAAACCGCCTTAGAGAATTTTTCCCTCGAACACGTGTCTCATCATTTTAGGTGTTCTATCTTTAGTAAAGATTTCAATTCGATCGAACTTACCGTCTTTGAGATCCAGAAATGGTCTAAAAAGAGGGCGGGGAGTGTACCCTTAAAGACATAATAATGAAGTTTTATCTAGATATCACCAAAATATTGATAGTAACATGTTTGCTGTCGTACTTGACACTTCGTATTTGTTGTATTTCAATTTGTTCGATGAACAATCTGACAACATGAGGAAGAAAAAAATGCTTTCAGCCAACTCAAAGAAATCGTTTTTGAGCGCAGATAACTGCTTCAGCCTCATTTATTTCACATCACACATCGAAGCCGAAATAAGAACAACTTCAATCAAATCTTAAGTTACACTACAGATTGACATTGGATGATTATTTCTTTTCACTCAGTGATGAATAGGTGATTTTGTTTAGAAAATTTAGAAGAGTAGACGGAGTTTATGTCGGTTGGATATGATTGAAAACAAAAAACCAAAAAACGTCAAAAACAAAACACAAAAATAGCTGCAAGATTTCAAGATTTCACATTGAGATTTTGCACAGACATTCGAATGAAAATGAACAAAATTCAAATGCATGAGCTAATCTATAAACTTCATTCTCTTATATGTATTTCGCAGTGTTTTATCGCGGAATTAAAGATACACATACGTACGTATATTGTCCATGTACAGGACTAAAAGAAAAATAACTCATTTTTCCAACAATACATTTTCTACTAAAACTTCTTAGGCATCGTTCATGTTTGTAAATCAGATATAAATTTGGTCAGCTAGCATGTGTTGCTGATAGAGACTGTAAAAAAAAGGAAACGTATTTCAGAAGTATGGGGTCAAAATCAGTATATCATACCATTACTGTAAAAATTAATCAACCACTCACACAAAATAAGTTCGATCTACTAATATGATCTTGCTATGATTATGAGAAAATAACATGAAAATTTCAACATACGCTAGGCAATTTGTCGAAATGTTTTAATAAAATTTCAGCCCAATACCAAAACAATTTTATCATATATCAGTTAAGAAAGGTAAACAAAGAGCCCTCTCTAACACATCAGAATTTTTCACGAAATCTTATGGGATACCATTATTATTATCTTTGTTTGTCAAAGGAAACTCGACTGCATAACCATGTAGAGCCATTTCTTTTTTCTCTAATTAGGCTTTCTTTTTATGAAAAATAAAAGCATTTTTTAGAACTCAGCACAATTACCGAAGGCTTTTGGGTATTAACTTTTCTGGATTGAGGGAGGTGAGCAGAATGAGTATCGAACTTATGAGTCCTTGTTCTGCAAGAAAAGCAAACATTTCAAAAAAACACGATATCAAGCTCTGCAACCGAGTTTCTTTTACCAAACAGAAATAAGAATAATTGGCTATCATGAAGCTTCGCAAAGAGTTCTGGTCTGATAAAAGAGTTCTTCATCTATCTTGTTTGACTAATATTTCGAAAAAATGCTTTAATATTAGGTTAAAAATTTCATCAGAGCATAACCATAGCTTGCTCAACATATTTTTAAATTTTCATCCTAATTCGTCCTAATCATGACAATACCATCATAGGAGATGGAATAATTTATTAACGAGTGTTGAATGGTTTTTTTGTATTAGTTATACTTAGGGCAGTCGAAAAGTAGTTAGAGTGGTACTTTAGTTCTTTATAAAAAGCTTAAAGAAACTTTCTCTCTATATAGTCTGAAAGCAAAAAGAATGCTCTATTTTTATATGGTATTTGATTATACTTCAACTAATGTCAAAATCATAAAATTTCGATAAGATATATCACGGTTCCATGGATGCCACTGAGTATTTTTCAAATTAGTTTTGATAGAAACAAGATAGAGAACTCCAGTTTTCATCGTTGAAAAGAGAAGATGAAGATGCCTTGAATCGTGCCTTATAGGTTCTTATAATATTGATTTCTAAAGTATCTTTATTCAATTTTTTAACCGTCGCAAAAATGGTTCTTTTTATGAAAAAGGAAAAAAACATAAAAGTGAGCTATTTCCACAGATTTTGCTAGAAAATCGTATTAGAGACTGAACTAGAATACATATTATTTATCTTAGCCTTTCGCACTTTGTAGATCTTCGCTTAGTGGTTTGAATTTATACTTGATCATTGGAAATTCACTGTAAACAACTTATTAGATAAGTTTGTTTTTGAAAAGGTCAATTGAAAATCTTACAAAACACAGATCAAGAAATCATGAAATATACGATTCGATGTGTCTTCATTTTCTCTTGTCAATAGTGAAAACCACAGTTCTATATCTTTTTAGTTGACATACGATCAAATAGCATAGAAGAATAGAGAATTAGTTTTTCTATTAGATTATATAGAGAGAAAGTTACTTTAAGCTTTTATAAGGAACTAAAGTACCACTCTCACTACTTTTGGATTGCCCGAAGCATATTCAACAGGCAAAGTAATTGATTCTTATTGTAAAATATTTTAGTTGATAACCAGAAATAATGAATGAAGAATAGAACAGAAGGACGTAAAAAGCTATACTTTATAGTTTATGTCGTTTGTATCTATGAAAAATATCGATCAACTTCTTTCGGATTATAAAAATGATCAAGGAACTGGTCATCGGTATTCAAAAATGATATTGTTCATGGCTAAGGTGTAATCATGCTTATTGGCTTGAAGGACGTCGTATGGTTTTTATGTTTGAGCTTGTTAATATCGACAGGATCGTGAGTTTTTGGCAAGTCATGTGTGATCTTTACAGTTCGTATATGCTGGACTCGGATCACAGCTGGCGATGATGCTAAATCAGTCGTCTTCATCTGAGACAGACTTTTTGTAGACCGAACACGCTGAATATGAATCTTATTACCATGAGCTGTATGCAAACGAGATATTGTTTTCATTGCAGCGGATGATCGTATGCGAGCCACCTGAACCGTACTTGCTGCGCGTCGGTAGTTATTTGTTAAGCGTTTTTTGACGGAATCACTCCATATATGATCTTGTGTCCGGTCATTCCAAGCACTATTGCTTCGGAGTTTCCTTTCGGACATAGTACGAGATGCTTGCACCGGAGTAGTCATCGGTTTTACAGTCAACAAATGTGGTGTCATCTGATTTATTTCTGCTGAATAGTTCGGTCATTTAATGCTTGGATTCGCTATGCTATGCGCTGATCTTGGCACACGTACTCTCTCAATCCATACATTAGTCACGGACTTCGGCGAAACACGACCATTGGTTTCCGAAAGAAAAGTATCAGTATCACTATCTACCGTTATTGAGTTATAATCATTTTCTATCCAACTTGGAACCTTCATCGTTGTAGTTGAAATGTTTGATAGATATGATCGAGTATTGATGGGACCTTCATTCAAAATTCTGTAGCTGAAGTAGTTTTCAGGTGTGTTAAAATAATTATGAAGCGAACAATCCATACTGGTTTTTATTTGCCATTGACAAGCCGGATCAGTACAATGTTCAATGGAATAAAACTCGAAAGTTCGGTTGTCTATATTGGGTTTCGGTTGATTCTTTAATGCACTTAAATGAAAAAGCAGAAAATGATAATGCTTATTCTATCAGTGATAGATGGCATGAACATACGAGCAATACATATACTGCAAAACGCAACAGAGTGGACATGTACTGAATAGGATCAATCCAAGAAGAATTCCGAGCAAAGACCAATCGATCGGAGCAGCTGAAAAAGATCTTCTTTTTTCATTAAAATAAGATAAGAATTCCTACGAACGATTTCTTCTTGTTATTGTTGACGTCGTTGAAGTTCTATCAGAATCAAACAACAAAGTTTAATCGATGAGTTCCTATGCTGACCTACTTACGATGTTGTTGTGGTCGACGTAGAAGTACTTGTAGACGTTGTAGAGATTGTTCTAAATCGTTGAAAATGTGACATTATGCTTATGTTGGTCTATTTTCAGTTTACGTTTGATCAGATCATTTTTGCCTGTTCCTCCGTTTATTTACAATATTTTTTTCACATCAAAATATTCAAAGAAATGAATCCAATGTAGCACAATATCGAGGTTAGATATTGATGTAACAAAAAATAAAAATGACTAACGAAAATTTTGTTCAAAATCAGTGATTAATTAATCGATGTTTTTGTATAGCACATCAAATCTCGAGGAGTATCTCTGGCCGAGTACAAAAGCTCAGCAATATACGTCTGTGAATTATTTTTCAAGATAGACGAATCAGACGAGAATAATCGGATATTGACATTGATCGGACTGATTTCATTCAACACACATCAGAATGTTATCATTCGTTCGACTAATATAATCATAGAAAATTCTGAGATGGTAGGAGAACATACGTAGTAGTGGCTGTCGTTGATGATGATGATGTCGACCTAAAACACACTTCAATATGTATTATATCGGAATAGCTTACAATTTTTTTCATACAAAGTTGTTGTAGAAGTCGATGTGCTAGAAGTTGATGTCGTTGAACTGGATGAAGTCGAGGTTGAGGTGCTAGAAGTGGATGTTCTAAATATTCAGAAAAATCCAATGACGATCAATAAATATGAAGTGTTACGTTGTAGTTGTTAACATGCAAATTTCACCGGGACAAACGCATACACCAAGTTCTGATACGTAGAATTTAAAACAGTACTGTGATGATTGCGAATCTTGACTGAAAAAAAAACAATTATCTACTGTTACTTTTATATTAATGTCTACCTATCAAACGCCATCGCGCACACAACTTGATAGCCAACTTGAGCAGCCGTTGGTATCCATGAAAAATTCTTATAATAAGTCGTCTCGTTTAACATTGTTATGTTGCCTTTAAGGACACCGGCATAGGATAGCGTGGCAATATCGGCAATGGTCACATTAGGTCCACAGCTATTTTCAGCATATAAAGTCGATGTAAACGTTTGACCAACAAGAATCGATGTGCAAGATTGCTCAATAGGTACACCAGTGATTTTAGGTGGAATAGAGCACGATGGCGAAGCAACGACATGTACGAGAAACTGAACAGGTGTTGCACTCAACGGTGTTGTACTTGAACTACTGATAAAATCCTCTACCTATAATATAACATAAATACTGTGTTCGAAGAGAAAACATATGACTTTACCATAAGTGTAACTGCATACCATTGGTCTACAATCGTTCCGGTTATGATAATGGTACAGTTAGGAAAGATGGTGGTATTTGCAGGAAGAGAATTAGGTGGACATGTTCCACCACATTCATCGATGCCACCTGAAAGTGTCGACCAACGACACTGAAGATTGTCCCCATCAGCGTCAGCAATAGGTACCTTGATAACTGTTGGTTGATCCTTCACAATATTGACAGGGGACATCATAGTAGCTACTGGAGCATTATTATAAAAGCCTGTGTCAGCTCTTTGTGTGAGATTAATACGAGCTGCTATAGACCAAGCAGCACCTGTGCCTTGGACTAATTCACGCCAAGAAGAATCATTGAAACCGACTACAAAATCAGAGCCTGCCTGTATGCTCACTGTATCGAGACGTTGTCCAACAGTAGTTCCGACAGATGCTGAAACATCTGTACAATAAGGTACAATAGACGGAGCTATGTAACCACCGCTGGTTCCACAATTGGCTATACAATCTAATGTTCTGGATGCAAGGGAAGCATAGCTATCATTCACTGGTATCATTTGATTGGTTGCCGTCATGCTTTCCGTGCATTGCATCACTGAGTAAGTCCATGAATATGTTTGTGTAATTACAATATCGATTGTTGATCCAGTAGCCGATGCGTTCAACGGATGCCAGGTTATGGTACCACCTAGAAAATGTTTTCCCTCAATATTTAAAACTAATCCTAACATCATGGCAATACATAGAGTGCATATCATCTTCATCAATGGTTCTTCTAGTGCAACAATCAAAGAAGTGACTTGATTGAAAATGAAAGCGAATCATATACTATGAACTTGTACGAGATCTTCAAGTAATCTACATAGGTAAATAATGTACATTATTTATTTACTTTCATTTGAGAAAAAGTGTACACGGTCACCATTGTAATTTTTATATGATGATGTTGATAGATTTTTCAATTGTTGACGACGAAAGTCGATCTCCCTTTCTCTGCATCGCAATGGCTTCCAGCCTTTTTGATTACTCCTCAGATTGATGTTGATGTTACATGATGAAATTGTCAAACACTTCATGCATGCTCGTATATACATCAGCAACTTGTATGAAATTGATTAGTATACCTTGATCAGCCACGTCATATTGACATCGAACGTCAACCAGGACTCATAAGAACTCCACTTGTTTGGCATGAAGTTAGAACTTTATTTTGGAAGTACACCTGAATTTTTCAATCCATCTTACAGGAAAGTTAGTTAATTAAGACCTGTCCTTCTTTGTTGACTGCATAAAAGAAACCCTTTATGCACTCTGAACTATGTCACACTGTAAAAAATGAAAAATAACAAACCTTCTCTATGCACTTATTACTGTTACATAAGGATGTGTGTGACTGTAGATGGTTGATTTGGGTGTGAGGTGTGGACGTTGGCGTGCATGTAGGTGCGTAATACGGCTGTGAGGTGTAGATGTGAATGTAGATGTGGGTGGTTCTAAGTGCGGGATGTTGGTGTGTATGCGAGTAGGATGAAGTTGAAAGTTGTGTGAGTGGGCGTATGCGTACCGATGCGATTCGAAGCGATGGTGTAGGCTGTGAAACTGTGGTTATGGGTGAGAGTATGGATATCGGTTTGTGGTGAGGCGTGCATATGGACGAAGAGAAGACCCACACCTACATTCACACCCACATCCTCACACCGGCAGCTATATCCATACCCTAACACTTACACCCACGTCCTTCTCTTATTTTCATCGGTACTTTTCATGCATACAATCATCATAGGCAGTCTCTAGAAGAATACTATCAAAAAACACATATTAAATGAAGTGTATGGGAAACTTTGAAGAGGGAATGCGGGAATAAAAATAAAGCTATCGTAGAATTTATTGATATGATTAATATTAGATGACAACAAATACATTCACTTAAGATTTGTATTGGAAATAGGTTTCAAACACACAACATTTATAAAGAATTAATGCATTTAATCCAGTGCGATTGTTTGTTGTGAAAACTTTTTATGGAGAAAGTGCTCAACGCGGATCAAGCTGTGTTTTCGGTAAACAATATGAAAAATGAAGAAAAAGGATGTGGCGTTTGTGAGTTGGTGTCAGTGCGCAGGTGAATGTGTAAGGGTAAAGAAAAGATCTTTATAGCCGTCCCATATCCACACCAACGCCCTGATAGACATAATATAGTAAAATTCACAAGATGCACTAATATCCTGCTAAAAGAATCACTAACATATGGGAAAGCTCCATTCAAAGACAAGAAAAACAAATATCACTGAACAAATTTGACATGTGCTGGATCAATTTCTATTTGACTAAGTCCTTTTTATACAAATTAATCAAAATACAAAGCTAAGGTAAAAATAACAGTAGTAGAGAAGAAAACATTAGTCCATTTTGTTATCTGTGACTTGAAACAAACACAATCAACAGAAAAGTAAGATGGCACTCAGTATTGTGAAATGATTTTTGTACTGAAGATGATCAATAAACGTAAAAGTTGAATTGGTCAATCACGACAATGGTGAGCCTTTTCAGGTCCGGTTTCCTATCACAGCGCAGTAATTAGCTCTCAAAAAATGTAAGATCTTCAAGAATATCGAACGAACATTTGAAATTTAAGGAGTAAATACAATATCTATGTTTAAGCTCAAATACGATGTGAAGCTGCTGGGGGCTCTCTGGTTATCGTGGAAACTCCATTCAATCTGAGGAGATTTTGAAAATGACTCGAATATTCTGTTAATGTCTCACTCTGACATTTGCGTTGCACTACGGTATAGTCTTTCATTGATATGTAACTGTAGTGCAGTTGATTATTGAAAATCCTACACTGTTGCATTTCTTATGAAAAAAGGAGACCCAGGCGGAGTAGGATTCTGTTTGTCCTGGATCGTTTCTCACTGAGACATAAATTAAGGAGCTATAAGCCGATGTCATTCTATTCATTTCTTGGCCTATTTTATTGTTTATTTGCGAAACAAACATGTGAACAGTAAAAGTAATACAAAAAGAATCAGATTTGAATTTCTGTATTCGGATAATCTTGTTCAATCATCCATTGTTTTGTTTCTTGTTTCTGGCAAGAGCATGGTTAACACAAGGACGATAACGGCTAAAACCGAGGACATATAGTATGTTATTGATAAATATTCATCGCTCACAGAAGTATTGATAACCGGTACAATAATAGCTCCAAGATGGCTAAAAGTAATGAAAAGTCCATTTGCACTACTTCGAATAGAAGTCTGAAAGAGTTCGGGTACGAATATCCAAGAGATAGATATTGTACCCGATATGGCATATTTACCAAATTGATCAATCAGCACTGCGCCTAGTGCATTATGTTTACTAATGAATGGTATGATGAAAACGCAAGCCGCTGTAAGACCTAACATAATAACAAATGTACCTTTACGGCCGAGTTTTGTTACCATAAGTAAAGAACTGGATATGTAACCAACAGCTTCAACTACAGCTCCGATGAGGATTCCAAGATATGGAGATATATTTATGACTTCAAGACCGTAACTTATTTCGTAATAAAGAAGGTACGTTGTGAAACCAAGAAGATTTATAATTAATAGTTTGATGATGCTGGTTCTCTGTGAAAGAAGTTGGCGAAGTTGTTTGAGAAAAGATATTTTCCTTTCATTGTGAACTTGTGCGATCGACTGGTTACCCAAGAATTCTTGATACGATGGATACAATTCGACTTCAGTTCGTCTATTTTGGTTCGCGATGCGACGTAAAAGTACTTCGAGCTCAGCATATTGCCGTTTCGCATAGAGATAGAGTGGTGTTTCGGGCATGAAATAGAGATAAGGCAAGATTAGTCCAATAAAAATAGCCTTAGCCCATTTGAGCATTTGCCAATCGACAGTAAGGTAGGCGAAAAGAGTAATAATTGCTTCACCAATTGTAAAAGCAACAAGAGCCACATTTCCGACGAGACTCGTGTGAGCCGCTGAGGTTAATTCGAGCATGAGAATAAAAACAGTACTATATGTTGAAACGGGGAGACCCGATACTAGCTGATTGAGAAGCAACAGGGCGAACCTATCAATGTATTCAAATTATATTATTCAAACATATGGAAAGAACTGCGCAATTGTGTTTGCTGCCAACCGATCTGCTTGAATTATATCTGGAGTTGATGATCCGATTACTTCTCGATTTCATAGACTTAGAAGATAGATTGTAGTGAATTCATATACTTCAATTCGTTCGAATACTATGCTAGGAATAATTGATTGTGTGTTGTACCACAAGTTGTCTTAGTAAATATTTTCCTTTTCTTAGCTGTTAAAATTACATTCTACTTCGAATTAATTTGTGTCATTTTTTTAAGTGTGCATTGCGGATCAAAATATTACGTATCTGGATATCGATGAAGATTTTGAAGGTATATTTAATTGTAAAAATGCAAGTGTCAAGGTCGATAGGTCGAAACAAGAAAATAATGAAAATTCATCGATTGCTATCCCTATGAATGTCTAAATTACTCAACTTACTTGCTATTCACTGCCATTGGTATCCATTGCATAGGGATTTGTGCTAAGACACACATTACAAACAGAAGAACAGTCATCACTATCGTTGTCTTCCTTCGTCCGAACTTGTCACCTAAAGAACCGATCACAAGCAGTGAGAAGCCACCTGCTTGCATTAATGTAGAAAGCCAGCTTTTCTTTGGCTCACTGTGACAAACAATATTAGCTTCTTCTGTAAATGTGTAACCGAAGATAGATCGATCGTATACCCAACCATTCGGACAATTGATCAGCGTTGAATTTTGTTTGTTTGTTGTATAGCGCAAACACTTGTCCCACTTTCCATCTTTACCTTTCGGAATATAAGCATCAATAAATAACTCATGCGTTCGATTTATCGGCCAATAATGGATATCATTGGCCCATACAGACGGTGGCAATTGGCATCGATGCTCAGGATCCGCTGCCCCGAATACATAATAGAAAGCAACAATACCAGCACCCGTCGAAATAAGATTCATAAAGAAAAAGTGTATGAGTTGAAATCAGCCAAGATCACCATACAGTCGTATAATATCATCGAGTGATACTGATTTTATTGTTGAGAATGGCTGTGCAGTAATGACATTGACTTGATCAATCTATGAATTTATTCAAATTTACATGGAATACCAGAACAAGAAACTTGTTTGCTTACATTCAACATTATATTGTCGCCATCGAAGATAACAGAATCCATGTGACTTTTAATATGCATAAGATCATTTACTTTCTTTGCTAGATGTCAGAATTGAATAGAGAGATAAGGTTGCACATAATCTCACGTGTTTTATCACACTTGCATCTTCTCATAAAACAAAAATAAGAGTTGTTGCTTGCGTTCTTTACGTAGTCCTTCTGTCTTATTTGAAAAAGAAGAGCTTGCTTCTGTGCTGATATTGATATTCTGATGTAATAAAAACGTACATATACGCGGCTATTATAATGAAAAGAAGATGCACATTCACTTACATTTCTTCACACTGATTAGAAGCAAACTATTCGAGAGTGATTGTATTGTTATGGATCTTGTCTTCACTCCCACGCACATATTTCTATAGTTTGTCATACATATATGGCTTGGCGAATACAGCTTAGAATTCAATCAGTAAAGACCTTCGTCTTGCATGAAAACAGTTGCTTACTGCACTTCATAATTAATGTCTATGGACGATTGCTTAACATCGAAGAACGCCATAGTAATTTGATCTTTTGATGAACTTCGCGACACATCAATGCTCACATTTGAAGCAACGATAGTAAAGGCTGACTCAGATTGACTCGATGTTCCGACATTGCTCAACGCATGAAGAAGACTATGAGCGACTACTAGAAAAAAGAAGTTGAGCCGAGACGAAGTCCTTCAGAATAGCGCGAGAGCTGTTTTGTAACTACGCTCGACTCTTTTTTTGCTTTACTTTATTTAGTAATGTTACACTCTGAAGTGCTTACATAAGGATTTGAGGGACAATCTAGAGGTTATCTATGATTCTAACAGTCATATATGGGACTTTCTTCGACCATGCATTTAAACATAATCTATTCCAATATTTCATTGGATTCATGTGGATCAGTATTTGGGGGTAAAATTTTTTATTATTATTCGATGAAATTTATTCATTTAATCAGCAATGTTTCATGTCTTTCAACTAACTCTTTTAATTCGTTTTAGTCTAAAAAAAGTGTCCTAGTCGATCATTTTCATTCTTTTTGAATTGATCCCAATAAAAAATATCCTCAAGAAAAACTGACCGTCCTAGATCCGACTTGTAAATATTCCTCAACTTTTTCTTAATGTATATTTGAACATAAACCTCCAAAGGATTCTCCCTAGTAACTGAAATTACATCAACTGCCCACACAAATGGACATCTATGCACTATTCTAATGGCAACTCTAAATTTTCGGTTCAGAGATTCTCTGTGTTTCTTTGGAAGAAATGGATAGAGAGGGGAAATCCACGCAAAATATGGGAACACATATGCGAAAAAGCATTGTCTAAGCACTTGAACCGAAACTCTTCTTCCTCTATTCAGCCACTTCAGTTTGACCAGTGCCTTCTCTATTTTCCGATACAATCATCGATCGTAGATTTTCATGATATCTTGCTCATCCATGTGAAACCTAAGTATTTGAATGAATTGGCTATTTCTAATGGATGACCCTCCATGTAGATGTTTATTTGGGGACGTTCTATTTGGTTGTAGAAAATTTGAGCCACTGTCTTCTGTACATTTATTGGTTGTTTTCATCTCTTTGAGTGAACTGTTATTCTGCGGCACACTTGAGTATCTTCCTTTTCAAGATATCTTGTTGTTAGGGCCAGAGATTTTGTAATTGGTGCTTTTATAAGTACACTGAGGTCATCTGCAAATATATGTCCTGAGTGGGCACCTAGACACTGTATTAAATCACTATGATAGACGATGAAACGATAGAGGTTTAGACCACTACCCTGAGGTAATCCATTACTCATATGATATTTATCGGATTCTATCTCTTTGGCCGCAATATAGGCCTGTCGACTATTTAACCACGATGCAGCTAATTTTAGTAGTTCGATGGGCATTCCTAGCCGGTGAAATTTCACCAATAGACCAGTATGCAAGGGGAAAACAGCTGATTATTGATTATACTTGATTAGAGAGATGATTAGCTTGAAAGCTAATCATTCCTAATCAAGTATAATCAACCCTAATCAGCCCTAACCAATAATCAGCTATTTTTCCCTTGCCAGCATGCCATACTATATCATAAGCTTTGCGGTAGTCAACATACAGGGCGAGCGTTGGCATATTCGCCACTAAGTTATTTGAACCTCTTGGCAGGCATGCACCGAACCCGAACGGTTCGGTGCATGCCTATTTCTTGGTAAATTGAGAGCACCCTAGTAGCTAGAAGACCTCCTTGTCTAACACTTGATTATTCAACTGGTACCAACTGTTCTGCTTCTTCCCAATTCCTCACTCTCTCTAGAATCAATTTTTCAAATAGTTTTGAATGCGTTGCCAACAGTGAGATTGGTCGAGTCTGATCAATACGTGGTAAACCGACTTTTAGTTTATTTAGTGTTATTATTTTCGCTAATTTCCAAAAGTCTGGGTACCTACCTTCAAGTAACCAAACGTTAAAACATTTTACTAGACTCTGCACATATCCTGGTGGAAGTAATTTTATCATAAAATTTGATATCTGATCGTAACCGAAAAAGTTTTTGTTTTTCAGTTTCTTTATGATTTTCATTATTTCTGGTATTGTAATCGAGCCTATATTGGTGTTACCTGTCCTGGATATTTTCTCTAGAATCCTGTGATACTCACTCATGACTTCATCATCATGTTGATCATTTTTATCTATAATAGGGGTCTTCCCTTGCTCTTTATAATACTCATATGGCATAGTGGCTATTCCTTGTTTGTCAGATACAGTACCCGCTTCTGAAGTCAATTTTGACAGAGACAATGCCCTCGGCTTGTAAATTTTCGACAGATATGACCAAAAGATAGTTCCATTTCTGTCGTGTGAATCTTGTATAGTTGAGAGGAAAGCAATCCATCTTTCCGACTTATATTTGTTTATCTCGATTTTCACTTGTCTTGTCAGTGTTCTTAGTAATATTCTAGTTCTTTCCACTTTTATTTCAAGATTTGTTTTCCTTACTCTGTAATACTTATTCCTGACTCGGTGAACTAACCACACTCGACTTTGTCTGCATTTTACATGCAAGAAACTCTTGAGTCAATGAACTCTGTTTCATCATCAATACTTAATGATAGCTATTGTTTATTGTTCTGACAACGAGAATCTTAGTTGACAATTCCAGTTTGTCATCAGATCAGTTTTATATTAGCGAATAGATGATTCTGCAAGCTGAAGTAAGTAACGGTGTAGGTGTCGGGGTGCGTGCAGTGGGGTGCTCCTTGTCACTATTCAAATGACCACACTTCTACTTACACACAAATCCCGCAGTCAACATTATATGCTGCACAGTCACACCCTAACTCCACACATATATCACATCCACACTCATATGCCTGCCAACATCAACAACCCATACCCAACATATACAACAACACCCAACAACTACATTAACACACACCTGCAAACTCGACACCTTCAAACCGTGACAGCACTCGAAACCATAGGTACGCGATGTAAACACACAGATCCCATAGTCAAACTCGCATTGACACCCATACCTAGATGAAAGCGAGGAATGGAAAACGCTTGATAAGTTGAAATTTCTGACACAAAAAGAAACGGGTTGGTCGAGAGCTGAATAGTGAAAGCATCTGACTTGCCGGACTCTTAATATAAAAGTCTTGATTATACGAAAACTAGACTGCGAAATAGTTTGATTGAATAAAAGCCACATAATAAAAATATCTGTTTGGATGACACACCGATAATAAAATTGCTTGTTTGAATGAATTGTCAACATGAAAGAGGCTCATAAATATATGTGTACACGTGACTTTAGACGTTCAAGCGAACATGTCAGTAAGTAGACTCAGTTTATTTAATATAATCGTCGCCTCAATCGACGGAACAAAATGGATCGATTAAGTATTTATTACAAAGGGAAAAATCATAGACAATAGATTCGATTTTTGATAAAGATCGAGAAAAAAGTTTTTTAAGAAATCAATAGCACAATAAGATGATTGAAAGTTGTATACAAAATTTATTTATTCTTCACCTTAACACTAGTGGCACACAATCAAAGCAAATATCAGTTATCGAATTAGGAACATTAATATTCCGACCATTTTAGACAAATAGGTTCATACCGATCTTTCATTTGACTTTCATTCTTTCGAAGGGATATTTTTCTGCATAAGTTCCTTGAATATAGATAGATGTAAAAATGTTAGCTTTTTCAGCTGACAATAAATTAAAATTCATGAATTATTTGAAAACTAATTAGCGTATATCTCTCCAATCACAAGAGAAAAAAATCGAAAACTCGAAGGTGAACTCTACGACACAAATTGCATCTTCGGACTCGATAAACTGCCTTTTAAAAATCGATATCCTAGAGATTATAACAAAGGATTTTTGCCGTTTAGAATTAGTTTTGAACTTCAGGTTCGGTTATAAATACATATTTCAGTTTATATATTCGTACTCCATCACATCAGCAACGAAAAGTAAAATGAGTTTTTTTGAAAAATCTACACATGTTCAAGAAAAAGATTCTAAATAGAGATTTTGTACTCTTAGGAGTTGTCTACAGAATGTACTATATAGTTTTCAAGCATACTGCTTCGAGTCAGAGTTTTTGTTGTTAAACACAAATGCGTGAACCGAGAGTTGCTGTCCTTTTTTCGTGTCACATCGGTAACGCTACTTTTTTACTGATAACTTCTTGGAACAAAAGTCTCCAGAGTTGTTTCTTTCAGAATATCTGGAGTAACTTAACATACATATAGTATATAAAAGTTAGTTCTAACAAGGTTCATTATTCCGAAACACATGTGTGTTAACTTTATGAAGTCACGTCTCTAACAGTGCTCACAATCAAATGACTAGCCGAGTACAGTCCGGTCCTTACCAGTCGAAGGGTCGACATTTTTTTGAATAAACAACCATGGGCTGGCTTGGACTGATTTGATATTGCAATAGGTACTTATGAGTCGAATCTTGAATAAATAAACAATTTTCAAATGATGAATATTTCTCCTAAAATATTTCTGCAATCAACAGCATATATATGAAGTAAAAGATAATATTGTTGTTATCTTAAAACTCTCTCTTTATATTCAACAAAATGTCCTGATCTAGCTTTCTTTTTGCACCAACAACTACGGCATGATTATCAATTACTGTTTCTTATTCTAATTCTATTCTTACTGAATTGCGTCACTAACCATCAATTTTTGTGCACTTTTTCTTCAATTATCATTACTAGTTAGTTCATTATGACATACAAAACAGTATACATTCGAAATAATCAACGTTCTTGTAAAACAACAATCATCGGCGCACGCTGTTGTTAAAAATGAAAAACCAAACATATCTTTATGTTTACAAAAATTTTGGTTTTTCAATTAAACACATCACAAAAATGCCGATGAATTCGAAAGAATTGCAGGTTTTTAAAATTGTCAATATGTTGCCGAACATTTGCTTATAAATTAACTACTGGTACTCGAAATATGCTTGTTTATTCATGTGTTAAAAATTCATTCAATACAGTGAAATGAGTAACTCATGGGTGGACTGTTTTTCAAAGAAAAAGCCATGGACTGGGCATAGTCAAAAGTCAATAATTCATGGGCCGATTTTCTTCGATTCATCTTTCAGTCCATGAGGAGTTTTGATCGCTCTCAAATGGTTTTGTCCATATTTGAATATGCTAAACTTCAAGTATTCACTACAAATTTAACTAATGAATTACAATATAAAATGAAATGCTCACAAATTTCACAACATGTTCTTGAACAATTTGAAAGTAGACAAAAAACTTGAAGTTTATTTTATCCTGAACTTTGAAAAGACAATTATTCGCAATGAAGATTAATAAATTACATGTGCAAAACCGAGTTGTCACATCTTGAAAGAAACCAGTTGTATATACTTCTTGAGTCAGTAAAATTTTATAAGAGAAAGTCGCTGAAGCGATTGAATTCGTGTTAATCAAATAATAAAAACTATATCATATTATTGCGTAGCTAATAAAGAATTTGTTGTTACAGTAGTCAAACACGATCAAGAATGTGACAAAGAAACATTAGAAAAAAGTCAAAGAACCTATTAATTGTATGAAAAAGAAATTTCTTTTTTATTGATTATTATACAAAAGATTTTCTATTCTTGTGAATATGTATCGTAAACTAATTAGTTTCATTCAATCGTTGTCGACCTAGCTGAATGCGTTTGTTATGTTCATTAGTGAGTTAAAATTCTATTTTGTGTTGTATTCCCTTTTGTTCAAAAAGCACCACTCCATGCATTTTCTAAATTAAACTTCTATTTTTATTTTATTCATTAAGCTTCACATTGCTTAGTCAACCATTCAATGCCAATGAACATATAAGAATTTTTTACATACTTTCTTCTTTCTGAAGTCTTTGTAACTAACTGTTGTCACTACTATCGATGAGATATCCAAGCGCGGCAGTCTCTCATTGGTCACCTATGTTCCTCCATATAAAACAAACACATATATATATATATACATTGGTCGTTCTTCATTTTCTTTGTTTTATTCTTCTATTTTCATTATAAATCATTCTGAAATTCTTGTGATATAAATATGCATTTGGTTTTTGTTACTTTTTTTTTTCTATTAATCTTGTCAAGTAAAGCTCATACACCAGGCACAGTGACTGTTGATACACTTACATTGAATAAGATTCGACAACATTTTAATGTTGTTCTAGCTAAATTTGATGATAAATATCGTATGTATTCAAAATAGGATTTTTGTTTTTTTTCTCATTCAATTTATTGTTAATTTTCAATTTTAGCTTTTGGTGATAAACACGATCAATTTAAAAAATTTGCTGAAAATGTTGCTAATACAAAAAATCTTCTTGTGGTTGAAATTCCAATAACAGAATATGGTGATAAAGAAAATGCACAATTAGCTAAAAAATATGGTGTTAAAAAAGCAGATTTTCCTGTATATAAATTATTTCTCAAAGGCAAATCTAAACCAATAGATTATACCGGTGATAAAACTGAAAATGATCTGAAACGCTTTCTTTCACAACATACAAGTAAAGAAAAAAGAATATATTGTTTTATTTTTTATATATTAAAAAGCATTATTCTAATTAGATCTTTGGTTTGGTTTACCTGGCACAATTGAAGAATTAGATCGTCTAGCTCAAGAATTTTTTTATGCATCATCAAATAATGATGAAAATGCACAAAAATCAGTATTAGAAAGAGCACGTAAACAAGTCAAACAATTAGTTGATAAGAAAGAACAAAGAAGGTTTGAATTAATTCAATATATCTATTAAATATGTTATCTATCTTTTTCTTTTAGTGGTGAATGGTATGTAAAAATCATGGAATCGGTCGTTAAACAGGGTACAGAATTTCTTAAACGTGAAGGACGACGTGTACAAAATCTTCTTAAAGAAAAAGTAAATAATTAAAAAATAGAAATTTCCTTGCAAACTCAATGATGATACTCGCCATGCTAATGCTGAGGGAATATCTTTGACATTTATCGAAATTTTTTACTATGAATATATATTATAAATACATATTAAATTCTTTATTCGTTGAGCATTTCGACATGGTTAGCCTTTAAATGTCGATTTATTCTGTTTAGAGTAATTAATATGTTATTGTTTTGATATATATTTATAATGATCAATGCCGATAAATAGATCAAGATTTTATTTCTCAATGAGCTTAACATCTCAAACCTGAGAGTTTGCTTCTTTTGTTTTCTATTCAATATATATTATTTTCATAATCAATTATTTTATTTAAGATTACTAATGAAAAAAAAGAAGAATTACAAAATCGTGCAAATATTCTTCTGTCATTTAAATCATTGAAAGAATCAATAACTGATACAGGTGATGCTGTGAAAAATAATGTTGTGAATGCTGGAAAACAAGTGAAAAAAACAATTACTGGTGATACAGATCTATGAAGACAAATCTGAACAATGATATCTCTTGTGATAAACTGCCTTTTAATTATATTTACCAATTTTAGCTTATTGTTTGTGTGCGCTATTGTGTCTCTCAGTGGAGTAGCAAAAAAATCAAAACTAACTAGCATTTATTTTCTTTGCAATTTTCTATATTGTTTTGCTTTTTATGTAGTGAATTTTTAATTATTTGTGTATTCTATTGTTTCAATGCAATATATAAATATATATAAATATAATATTAGAAAAACAACCAAATTAGTAATTGAAAGATTTTATTCAATTGTGCACGATAAATAATAGGCATATGAAAATTAAAATACTAGAAATCTTTCAGATCATGCCACTTTCATTTGATTGGCCGTTTCCAGAAAGACCATCAATATTTTACAAGACAGCTTCGACTTTAACAATTGGCCTTGTTGGATCATTTAGCAGATTTTGGATGAGTGAGTAAGGAAATAAAATGAATCGATGCCACCATATAGAATATGTGTTCATTTTATAGGATGTATGAATTCAGTACGAATTGAAAATGGTAACAATAGTTAGCTATTTGGCAAAACATTGATTATTATGTTTTTATTGAAAAGGTGAAATTCTTCTTGATGCTGTACTAAATCGAAATCCAGATCGAGCATTAATTACTGTGGCTAATCATCATTCATGTAAGATTATTTGAATTTTTACTGTTACTAATGATATTCCTAGACGTATTTTTTTCTTCGAATAGGTATGGATGATCCATTGTTGATCGGTACATAAAACGGTAGTTTCTTTCCTCTCTATCCTTTTCTTAGATATTTCATCAATAGTTCTATTTTTTTTTTCATTCTGTTTTTTTGACAAAATTGTCTATTTTTATAGCAGCTACGATGCCACTTCGAATTTTTTGGAATCGTCGTCGAATGCGTTGGTCATTGGGTGCTGATGATATTGTATTTACAGTGAGAAAGCATCAACTTTTTTTCAGTTTGGGTAAAACAATACCAGTGACACGAGGCGACGGTGTGTATCAACGACCTATGGATTTTGCCCTCGAACAAGTTAACCAAGGTGGATGGATACATATCTTTCCTGAAGGTGTGTATTTTTTCATATAAAGGACATTCTTCTGTAATTTATTTCGAATTTATCTTTCAGGAAAAGTTAATTTAACAAAGGAGCCCATGCGACTTAAGTGGGGTAAATTCAAAAATAAAATTGATCTTTTCTTATAACTAATAATATTACTTTCTAGGTGTGGGCCGACTTATTGCTGAAGCTAATATTTGTCCACTGGTTATTCCATTTTATCATCTAGGTAAGAATATTCTCAAGATATTATGCAATCGTAGACGTATTCTATTATCAGGAATGGATTCAGTATTGCCCAATGAAGAGCCTTATTTTCTTCAAAGGGGAAAAAAAGTGAGCATTTTTGTTGGTGAACCATTAATCTTCGATGAGCTTGTAAAACAAATGAAAAAAGAAAACCGATCATTGGTATGAAATAATCCATATTTTATATGATTAATTTTAACTAAGCGTGTTTTTCTTTTTTGATTTTCAGCTAGAAATACGTAAAGCAGTAACTGATATAATTCAAAATGAAATATATAAACTTAAAATAAAATGTGAAGAACTTCATCGACAACATCTAGCCAGCGACGCTTCTTCGTCAAAGGCATAATCAAAAATTGACTTTTTAATTTTTTTCGTTATCTTTTGGTTCTTGTGTGCTTTTGTAATTGTAGAACTGGAGAAAACGTAAAATTATTGTAGTTCTATTCTGCTAGAAAATTTTAACATCATAAAAAACTAAATGATTTACATCTAAAAGAATATGGATATTCTCGATTTACCTGCTCTTCCTACAATTAAATCTATAGTTTATGAAAGTTCAAGTTGGGTTAGATTACAAAAAAATTTCGACTTCAAGTCTAATCGAATGGCGTCACAATACTCTGATCGATGTTAAATTTCTTTCAAGACTGATACGAATTTTAAACGAGATAAAGATTTTGTTCTTTTGAATTTTGAGAGCTCATACAGATTCAGGGTGAGTGCAGGTGAGTAGAAGATGTGAACATTCACACCCTAAATATCAATTCCTATTAGAGATCAAATTGAATATAAACGCTGTCGAATCGAATCGAGTCGAATATAACTCTTTCTATTCGATTCAACAGTCATCTCTTCATTAACTTATAAACAGAAGCAATAAAATTCACTGTAGTATAGAGTTCATATTCTCTGTGTTTAGTCTTCTACGTATCCTGGTTCGATAATTGAAATGACAACGACATTGAAAAACTTGACTGAAAAGTAAATATCGAGGTTTTTTTATTCAAAAGGCTACCAAATTGATTCAACCAAAATAAAAGATTACTAACTGCAATTTAGATCAGAGAATTGAGACAGATTGAGTGAAAATAGAAATTAGTTTCTTCCTTTTTCTAATATGAGCGTCTTCCTCCAAGAAGATAGCCATATCAACGTTAATGATCCAAATCCACAAACTACTATGTTTACTAACTGATAAGAAAAACATTTCTTTTTATAATACCCAAATTATAGTTAGTACTGTAGCTCCGCTTTCATGCTTCCGAATTTCTCTAAATTGATAGATTTAGCATATAGATCCGTAAAAACTATAGTGAAAATTTATGCGGAATGTCAACACATTTTACTTATGACAATGAAAGAATTATCTTTTTTTCGGCATGAATCGAATTGAATTCGAATCAAGATTTTCTTTTTCGTTCTCGTCTCTAATTTCTGTACACCTTGACAAAGATTGTGCGGCTAACATACGTAAGTCTTGTTGATAGAAGCTCAATATAAATCTAGAGAGAGCTAAGCGGACATACTCGTCAGATATGTGCATCGTGCCTACAAAACGAGGCGAGGGCGATGGCAGTCGCCAGATAGAAGTGAAGGTGGACACCGCCTGAAGTCTTCCCGATTAGCGATGCGTATCTCTGATACTCGTCATTATTTAGCTCCGTATTGGCGTCAACACTAGCCAATAACAAATGAAAATACACGTGTTCGAATAACTTTGCAAGCCATTGTATATACTTGCAACGAACGATTACCATTGAAATGAAAACGAACAAAAATAAAGATTCTATAGACGGAGAACTGTTCTTAAGTATTACATTGGATATTGCCAGTTTAGCTATCATTTCTCAACACATTTCTATTACTATTGTCTTCTTATGTAACATTTATAGATGGTAATCTTTGTTTTTTACTTACATAAAAGTTGTTTATGATTTTTGTTATTTAAATAACGTTGTTAAGAAACAACTATAAAGTATTGTTCGCGAACAAAATAAAACTTTTGAATTTGGCACAGTAAATCATGTAATTTGTTCCAAAATTGAATCATTTCTTATTTTTAACGAAAACTATTGCCTTTGACAAAGATAGCCATGTTTTTCCTGAAAGAATCAATATTACTAAATCTTTTGAATAAATCGAGTTTTAGTTGATTCATTGTTGAGTTAACATAAATTTTCAGTATATTTCTCAATAATTTTATTCTTATCAAATATAAATTAGTATTGAAATTTCTTTATAATCCTTAGCATCATCTAACACAACAATGCCATGATAAAAAGAGTTATCTGATCTAATAAAATTATACAAACAATTATTCTAACTATTTTCTAGTGAATCAACTTACATTTTCTTATTCCAAATCTGATAAAAAATTTAAGAAGCCAATAAATAATGATTGAATTTTACTTTCTAAAAATAACTTGACTTTGTATTACACAGTTAATAATAGTACGAATTGTCCTTAAAACTTTAAAAATGAATGTGGATAAACATATAAAATTAAATTTGATGGAGTTTTTCTTGAAAAATACTGATTTAATGCTATATGTGCGCTTGATAGGGTATGAGTGAAAAAACAACGCACACCCTTCAAAACTTGTATGCAATCTCGATAGATATAAGTCATTATAAATAGTCAAATGAGATGTACGATGTCTAACTTATGCTGATTTATTCTCTACATTAAAAAAACACAAGAGAAATAAGAATAATACAACGAATGAAAATTTGATTATGAAAAGTACAATTCAGTGGCACATTCAAACGTCACAATGCATCAGTTAGTCGGACTGTGCATTGTTTGTACAGTAAATCAACATGTCACTTTATTCAACAAAAATGGGCTTCTTTTTACTCAGAAACCATTGTAAGTCACAGAGGAATAACTCAATACTACCGACATGCGGACGCAGAGTGGTTAAGTCTGAGAAAAAGGAGCACTTAGTGTGGACGATTTTCAAACGTAGATGATGACATTGTGTAGACGAATTTCAGAATCTGAAACGATTACATCTCTGGCAAGATGTTGAAAAAATAACCCACTAGTTTTTCAGTGTGTCGGGACAAAAAACAAATTAAAATTAAATGTCACGATAGGATTCTCATAAAAAATGAATTCTGAGATTGCAGATGAAATTTTTCATGACAGTAAAATTACGAAATTAAATATGATGAACTGATCGAAGGTCCAAAACCGACAATTATTTGACATAAAACTAAGATGAGCAAAATAAACTATGTCAAATATTTACTTTTCCTTTCGTCAGAAGTCTCTTTGACATTCATCAATAAACTGCTTCTTTCTTCTTTTTTTGTAAGTTTTTTTTCAACACTGTTCGACCGTTTGTTTTTTCTTTGTCTATAGATAAAATGAATTTTTCTTCTTTTTCTTTGTTTCTCTCGTTTGTCAACTAATGAAACCACTTTGCGTTTTCCTTTAACACTTCTTGCAATAGTATACAATCAATTCCTTGAGAAAAGCAAACAAAGAAAAAAATCCAACACAATGCCAATGATTGTAAGAGCAACGACGACAACAAATGCTCGTGGTCGAAAGCAACGACTTGTCTTACCTCCAAAAAATAAATCGAATGAACTTGATGTTGATTATCTTCGAGCTCTCAAGGTTTTTACATAATTTTTTAAAAAGTGTGATGATTTAAATTGGTATAGGGTTAGATAAATACGAATGCTTACTCCTATACAACACATAAAATCGAAAATATAGATTTCTCTTATGATGTAATGCTCCTATATTGTTTCGTAGAACTTTCTTGATCAATAACCATCGTTTTCTGCCATTCAATAGCAATTGTAATTATCTGTCTTTGCTTAACTTCTTTCATTCGAAAAAATGAATTCAAAGATACTCACCTATTTTCTCTGACTTCGGATGCTATGTAATATCATTTCTGTTAAATTTTAGAATTTTTATGTTTTTAGTACACTCCTTTCTGAATCTCTCGTACTAGAATTTGAAGTCTTAAAGGAGTTTGATAATACATTGATTTATTCGAACTTGAGAATTTGATTGATTTTCAAATAGAGAAGTAATCTATCGTATTATTTCGCAGATGTGGAACTTATATTTGTAGACGTCATGATCCTATAAAATCGATAGATCTCAAACAGCAATTCCTCTATGATATTCGAAGTAATACAATTCCATCTTTGAGTAGCACATTTTTCGAGTATTTGACGAGAATTGTACTTTTACAGCTTTGATCTGATTCAATTTTCTATCAAAATTCAGATGTAGATATAAGTGTTCAGTAGACTTCCTAATGCGTCAAAAAATTAAAATAAATAAAAAGCGCTGAAAATATTACAAGAAATTTATAGCATAGTACATTATATTCTTCCTATTAATGTATATATACATATCTTTCAGGTAATTGATCAAACTTGTCGACAGCAAGACACAATTTCTACTATTGCAGAAAAAACTCCTGGTAGATCTGATGCTGTCAAACAAAAAAAGTCCAAATCATTCAATCAATTGTCATCAACATTAACACCTATTGGACAAGAAGCAATGATAAAAACCTATGAGGATACACTTGTTTCTCATCTAACTAACGTTTATTCATCAAAACGTATCGGTACTATATTACCGCGTCTTCATACTGCTACATTTCGGCATCGATTACCAATCATAAAAAATTCTAATCAAAATCATGTGGATAATATTCATCGAGCTCAAAATTTAATTGATAATATTTTTAATAGTGATTCTCAAAAAGAGGAAATACTCTGTGATTATGTTCGATGGCAACAGCAATGGACAAAAAATTTTGTATGAATTATAATTATATTTTACATATATAAAAGAAAAACATTTTTTATTCTTTTTCTTGTTTTCTCGGATATTATATTGCTTTATGTATCGCGCAATTTTACCAGTAGAAAACATGTGCCAATCATATCTACTTGTTGCATAAACTGATATTGAAATTTATAAACACAAAAAAGAAACTTAATGTCATGAAATTGATAATGTTCGAGAATAATAAAACTTATTTCGTAGTATCACCAAAAAATAATTCATTAGAGGTTTCAAGACCTTCACAAACATAGAAAGCTCGTAATTTCAAATGAAATTAGATACTGTTTTAAGAGTTGAAAGTTTTCATGAAATCAGATACAGTACAACAACAAGTTTATTAAACAAGAAATGACGTTGACTTACTGACGACTTTTGCAATGTAGAGACTAGCACATCAAAAATAGTAGCACCATTATTTATTATCCTAGTTAGTCATATCTCAGTATTTACTCGAGAAAACATGATATGCTTTTTGTTTGAAGTTTATATTATCGAAAAGTCATATATACTAAACGCAGTAATATAAGCAATTGTATGACAACAATGAGAACAATAAATTTAATAATGTATGCTTATCTGTCTTAAGTTCAATAGACTAACAGATCATATATGAGATAGATCAATTGGTATTCAAAAAAAACAACTTACGATGGTCTCAGGTTCAATTAGCTTGATTATTTATTATAGAAATTGTGTTATGAATTACACCAAAACAACTCATTTTACATGTTTGTTTGCACTATCGGCAGTATACCGCAGTACTCATTAGTGCCGAAAATGGATTGCCGGTCGGAGAACAACTATTGTTTTACTGTGGTCGAATGCTCGTGGTCTGGAGATGGTCGATCGTTTAAGTATTAAATCACCGACTGTTCTTTTGCGATTTTAATCGTACGGAAAGATTATGTACTAATTAATTAATAGTAGTAATAACTAGTCTCATTATATTTATGATTATCATACAGAACTTTCAATTATTAATATTTCTGGCATTATCAATTGTTAAGATTCTAATGATTATTGAAGAAAATACTGTCGAAGATAATTTCATTTTGTTATTTAATCATATATTACACCTTTTACTGATATCATCTAGTATATATGATGTAAATGCAAAGCCTAACTGATCATGTACAGAGAAGAAATCGACAAAAATCTGTGTCTCAGTATTTTCTGGTCATCTTGTATATTGAATCTAAAAAACTGAATCGAAAGAATCAATATGAATTCGTTGTTAGAAGACTGAAAAAGATATGTTAGTACATTGATCAAAGAGCACATTCATATCGAAAACAATCGTAATTTATTTTCGTTATGTATCCTATCGTGTCAACAATATATGTATAAATTTTACTATAAATGGAAGACAAAAATCAAAGATAACTGATTATAGAAAACAATATTTTCTGTATTAAAACTCTAATGATGCCCATCGATAATATTGCGATTTTATTGTTCGTATTAACACACGTTGAGATTGTTTCTTCTCATTCTTTTGTTGTTGTTGTTGCAAAAGAGTTAATAAACCACCCATAGCTATAAAACCTTTGCCTGTACAACATGCTTTCGAAAACTGAAATGCTCCACTTGTAATAGCACCTAATAATTTTCGATTACAATCATGAATAATTGTTTGTTCACTATTATTTGCTCGTTGTTCAATTAATTTAACCGTTGTTTTACCTTTTTGATATGATTGTTTAGTTTTTTTCATTTTTCGTTCTTCTATTCGAGCACGATCACTATGTCGAGATTCTACTATTGTTTTCTTATTATCTTTCAAATCATCCATAGTCGGTAAATAGATCAATGTTGTATTGTCAATAATGCCTTTTTTTCCTTTAATACTGATACGAATTGGTACAAGTGAATGTAAATGTTGTCGAAGATTATCTAATGAAAGACGATGTCGATCACGTAAAACATAAAATCGATGGGAATTTATCACAGTATTTGATGTATCATATTCAACTGCCCAATCACGTACAATATTCGACCATAAGGGACGAAATGGACTTGCGATACCATTAAGAAAAAAATTCGGACGTTTCGAAGGTGGACATTTTGAAAAATATGTTAATTGTTCGGATTCTATTTTTGATGTCCAATCAATACCTGCATCTGTATCGGGATATTCTTGCGGAAATTGAAATTCTCCTAGAAGCAGATTTTGAATACAATGGATAAATATCTTTTCTTTTTTTTTTTTCTATTTACCAGTTTCATGAGCAACCAGTGAAAGTTCCTTTTGGCCAATTGGTCTAGCACCACTATAAACAAGTGAGATCCAAAATATTTGTGCCCATTCATTGGGTAAAATTATATCCCATCCACTACCAAAATCATTTCGATATTGTTGATGTTTTGATATAGGTGACAAAAGATCATGATGATGAATAAATATAAGTGGAATTTGTGATTCTTCTTCATTTAATTGTAATTCATAATCTGAATCGAGAAACAAAGAATGGTCATTCATATAGTATATGCCTAAACTTTAAATTTACTATCAACTGTTGATTTTGATCGAATAAGATTAATTTGATAAGTTGCTAATTTATGTTCACAACAATATGTACGATATTTTTCAATCCATAATGGTGAACTAGCAAGATCAATGGATGATGGTGGAAACGACTCAACTTTTTCAATTTCTACAATAAAAGAAAAAAAATTAATTATTCTGTTTAGAAAAAAGAGAAAGCAACGAAATGTACTTGTTTTCGAATGAATAGTTAATTTAGGTTTAAGTGGTGTAAAGATACGTGGATCACGTACAACAAGTGCAACAATTCGATTAGGCATCATTGTTGATGTATTGCCAATATTACCATTCCAAAATTGAAGTTGTTGTTGATGTATATCAATTGAATGAGTTTCATTTGACCACCAAGAAAATGGTGCAGTTTTTCTCTCAATAGCATTACCAGGTAATACACTCGGATGAAATGCATGTTTAAGAATAGCCATTGAAAGTGGACCAATTAAACGAAACCGAGCTAATTGTTGTTGATCGCGTAGTAAAGTAACACTTACTGGTTGTTGCTCGTCATTCTTCTGTTTTTTTACAGGTGGTTCTTCAGTTGATATGGATGATGGTGTATCAAACAATGAAATAAGTATTTGTGCAAGAGAATCATACGATGCTGGATGACACCAAAGCCAAAGTTTACGTCGTTTATCATTTGATGGCATCCACATAAAACTAATTGGTGTTAAACATTCTTGTGTATTAGGTTTATAAATTAAACATTGTCCTTCAAATTGTCCGCCAAGATACATTTTAGCTTTTGGTGTTAAATTATTATTTGATGAATGAAAAAGTGGATTGATCTTGTCGATAATTTCATCTTCATTGCCTTCTAATTTAATACATCCATAATAGGACATATCCTGAAAAAATATATGGATGGAAAATATTATACAACAATAAAAGAAAACTCTTACAATGGAGGTGTGTGTATTGATAATCAAAAGGATAGGATGTATTCGGGTCAAATGAAAGCTCTCACCGAGAAACTAACAGGGTTAAAATATTAGCTGCCCATGGCTTGCCTAGAGGGAGATATTTAACATTTAAATCTAGGTATAAAAATGAATCAGTAAAGGTTTTCTCCACTATTATAAGGACCAAACGTAGTGTTGTTCGGGGCGATTATAGGGTTTATAGGGTCCCTTTTTCATATGGTTCTAACAACACTGTGTTTTGTCCTTATAATAGCAAAGTGAATTTTTCTAGTGATTGATAGAAAAAACTGTTTCCATGAGGTACAGAAAAAATTCACTCTGCCATTATAAGGATAAAACATGATGTTGTTCGGGCCATATGAAAGAAGGACCCTATAAACCCTATAATCGCCCCGAACAACACTATGTTTTGTCCTTATAATAGTGGAGAAAACCTTTACTGATTCATTTTTATACCTAGATTTAAAAGTTAAATATCTCCCTCTAAGCAAGCCATGGGCAGCTAATATTTTAACCCTGTTAGTTTCTCGGTGATAGCTTTTATTTGACCCGAATATGTCCTATTCTTTTGATTATCAATACACACACCTCCATTGTTAGTACAATCTCTGCGGAGATTAAGATGTGAAACATAATGTAGCTACTCTTTGTAATCACAGGAAGATTGTTTTATTCGATCTACTTTGGACCACATTGCTTCACTATTCTTATACTTAATCCTCTAGATATGTAATAAGGAAGCAGCTCATTTTTTATAAAGAGACGTTATTCATCTAGTATTTGATCCTATTTCAACAACTCCTACCACAGTCTATTATGATCTCTGACTTGCATCTGTCACAGTCTGTGTGAGGACAACATGTCCTAATTTTTACTCCTGTATTTTAACACTTCTTTTAGATCGTGTTTCACAAAACATGGAAAAGCATACATGAAGTAAACATCGTTCACGTAATGATTTATATGTTGGTCGAATACATTTTGTATTTGATTTTTCAGCAAGACGATAATTCCATAATGTATTCATATGAAAACGTTTTGCATGCCATATATGAGTTTTAAGCCATTTAATTTTTCTTTGACGATTTGTATATGATGAAAGTAAATTTCGAGGTCGACGACGATAACGACGAGATGGTCGTTTTGTTTTAGCTGTACCCTTTAACATGACAAGAATAAAATTACTGTTTAAAAAGCAATTTCTGAATTAATTTACTGTTTTAGGATCAGCTAATGGACGAAGTGAACGTGGTAAACGTTTGATATTATAACTTGCTGCTCGACGACGCATATAACGTGGAAGGATTTGTAGAGCAGTCCGATGTTTATCTTGTCGATGGCCGAGTTCATGAAGAAGTGATTGAAGTTCTTGGGCTCGAGCATGTGCCAAATCAGCAACATGTACCACTAGAAAGACATATGAATTATTCACCATGTATAAAGAAGACATTTATATAGTTCTTTGAAATGAATCATCTTTGAATGATACTTTCAAGGTTCTAAGTCAACTTTTAGGATACTAGCAGTCCGATTTTCTCCATTTCTTCTATGCTAAAGGTAGTTTCAAAACGACATAAACGGTATTCATTTCTGGCTAACTCAGAATAAATATGAAGCAAGATTAAATACACCGCAATACTAAGATCATATCAAAATCAACATGGTTAATCGACTAGATGTCCCCGTAATAGAATTGATGTTATTTTTGGGTGAGCAACTGTTTGAAATAGTAGTAATACAAATCGATTAATTTTATCGATCACACTGCACACTTAGGAATTATCTAATAATGGATCTATAGAGTGGATATCAGTAAATAGAATTAAATGCTACTAGAGTCATTACTTTCGCATTAGACTAGTTTTTTTTCCTAAGCAACCGCTCAGGATGATGCGTTGAATATGAAATTTTCTAAACAGCCTTACATCAATTTCACGCTTCTAGAAATTTTAGTTCAATTCTATATTGTTAATCTAGCAATTGTCAACTATTGCCTATTGTTTTATTGACCATACTCAACAGTATACAATTGACCAAACTAGTCCATCATCACTGTATTAAGTGCTGTAGCCAAGCTGATGAATGTTTAAATCAAAGATAAATTGAAGAACTTATTCGATAGAGATTTTAAACAGATGAAAAATCAACTTGATCCAACAAAAAAACTTTCTTGTAATTAACATGATTTTCATTTCACCTACATTCTGGTGTCGAAATAATGTTGCTTTCAGTCGCCATTAGTATCTAAAAAAAAACATTAAAAAATTAACAGTCCATTTTTTTCTTTTCTATTTTCTTGGATTTCTATATAAAAAAATGAATAATAAGAACATACAAAAAAGAAACAATATCAATGATATTCATAAAAAAAACATTTGCATGCCACTATATCATTCATATTTCCATCATATTACTTCCTAAAATAGAAACAAAAATGAACATAATAAATTCAACTGTTTTTTATTTAAATTCATACCCGTAGTGTTTTGTTCAGATATATTTCCTTGTTCCATTGAATTATCATTATGTTGCTCCATTAAACCAGGCATTTGACCGGCTTGTAACATTGCGTTTAATCTTTCAACTTCTTCAAGAGATTTTGCTTCTGAAATAGCTTTCTAAAAAGTTCATATAGAGATTCTTTTTTTTTGAAAAAACAGAATTTAAATATAAATAAAAACCTTAATAACATCTGCATTTTTCTTGGTCAATCGTGATGTTTTTTGCTGTTGTTGTTTAGCTAAGTCTCCACCAGGTACAAATGTATTAGCTCCTTTTTGCTGTTTCTTTGTTTTTTCATTTGCTTTTGATTTATAAAGTTTACGAGCTGCTTCACGTTCCTCAAAAATGAAACATAAATAAGACATAATAAAAGTAGTGTGACAGATGTATTTTAATTGCGTATAAAAAGTTCAAAGAAACTTTCTTTCTATATGGTCTGATAGGAAAAGGGATGCTCTGATATATGATCATTCTGCAACTAGTATCGGACTAACCTGACGCGCTCTAATGAAGATAAAAGAAAAAATCTTCACAGAGTACTCAAAAAAAAAACAACATTCAAAGTGTTATCCGTTTCAAGAAAATTTTGATGAAAAGTCAAAAAACTTATTAAAAATCAACAGAAGTCTATAGAATCTAGTCAAATTGATGCATGGTTTTGTTTACTCAACATTGACATATCAGAAGATAATTATCTCAATTGTGGTTTGAAATATATATATGAAACACATCTAAATTAAAATTTCCGTGAAACTGAACACCATTTTCATGCATTTTGTTTGAATGTTTTTCGAAAATGACAGATTTTTAAAATAATTTTGTCTTATATAGTACTCATAATAAAAATGACGACCGAAATTCTACTCCTTTGATTGCTAAAAATTGCAGGTGAATAGCTGTTGCCGTTGTGACGTTATTTAGATTACATTTATCCGTCTTTAGCTATAGCACCGACGTCCAGTTCGAAGGATTACTTAAGTAATAACTTGATGAGCTCGTTTTTGTGTTTCTTCTTTGCGTCCGCATATGTATAGATGGTTAAGTATCAAAGGAGTTGAGAAAAAAGAAGATTCGAAGAATGATCAAATACCAGAGCATTATTTTTCGTATCAAACCCTATAGAGAAAAAGTTTCTTTAAGCTTTTTATAAGAAATGAAAATAGCTATGTCACACTACTTTTGATATGCTCTAAGTATTTCAAATAAATATTCAATTACTTTTTGAGTTATTCGATTAAAATCTAATGTACGTAAATGTGGTAATATATGAATAACATAAAGTCGATAATCTTTTTTCATTGCAATCGGACTTCTGGCAAAACTAAAATGAACAACAAACCAAAAAAAAAACATGTTTTCCTATCATTGAATAAAGTAATTTACCTAACATGAGTTAATTTTGGTAATGTAAATAATGGATCGATATCTGTTAATTCTTGTAACAAGTTATTATTTAGCATAAGTGTGTCTACATTTGGAATGTATTGTTGAATATTTTCGGCGATACGTCTAAATTACATTAATTTCTATAATTTCATAAATATAAAGATATTTACTTACGTTATATGATTGTTAGCAAGATAAATTGTTTTTAATTTTGGTAAAAATGGAAATCCATCAAGTTTACGTAGATCATTATTGGTAAAATCAATTGTATCAAATTGATTTAATGTTGCACCCAAATTTTCAATAACAGAAATTTTTAAATCTAAATATTTATTTGTTAAGATAGTTAAATAAAGTTTTTTATTTACCTCGTAAACAAAGTTCATATTGACCTATAGGATTAAGATATTGTGAAGCGACTTCAATTACTTCAGGTGTAAGACGAACCATAATTATAAAATAATTAATCTATCTAAAATAAAATTATTTTTATTAGAAACTTGTATAGATGATTTTGTTTTTAAATAGTCATAAACATACAGTGCTTTGTTCAAATTTAAGCTAGGCGTTTTGATTTCATTTATTGAACTTAAGAGAAAAAATATAAGAAGATTATTGTGAAAAACTTATAATATCAAATCAATGGAAGAACGCATTCGAAAAATAAAATTTATCATAGTGAATATTTCCACGAAAATTCTTCAAGGTAAATTTTCCAAGTGTTATTTTTGCTTAAATAAAATAGACGAAAATCTATGAAATTTAACAAATTAATCTTGATAATATCATTTGCTTATCTCTATAGTTTAAAATTATATATTTCAGAAGTGAATTATCACTTTTGAATAAGGTTTAACTGAAATCGATAATTAATAACTACTGTATACATGTACTTCCGTTTTCAATATTACCTCGTCGACTAATAGAGAATATTAATAGTACATATAAGAACATAGGTGTAAACGTTCAACAATATCACATGAATTAACATATAATCGTTAAGAGTCGTGAACTCATCAAACTCAAACATTTTCTTAGACTTTATATTAACCAAAAATTTTATCTATGAAGGAATTATCTCTAGAATTTAAGATGTGACTTAATATTTCGATCTCAAAATATAAAGATAGGTTTTCGCTGTACATTATTTGAAATTATTACTCATCTTAATAAATTCTAAATTGAAAGTGAATTTATTTTATTAAAGTTTTCCTACCATATTGTTATAATACATATTTTTATTCTTATGAAAAACTAATTCTTTTTCAACGGATTATACCATCGAAATTATGTATTGTTGTATTTAAAGTAATAAAATGTTTGACTAAAATGAATTCCATTTGGTACAAGATTTTTCCTAAAATGAGATTTGAATATAAACAATTAATGAATTTAATTGTTTTTTAACAAAACTTAAAGACAACTTAATTTCGATCTATATATCGTGAAGATTAAGCAATGCATCAGCAATATGTCTTTAAAATCCAACTAACCAACCACTCAATCGATATAGTAAATCAAATTGTATTGCCTAACTAACCATCCAATCATAAAGTTCATTAACTTGTTATTTTGATTGGTCCATAGCGACAAGCATACAAAATCCTATAGATACCATTAAAATATTTTCTTGTTATATTTTAACATAACGATAAATATGAATATTCTTTCAAATTCATCTTCAAAATTTCTATTAAGAAATCCATTTATTCGCTCATTCCATATAACATCTATAAATTATGCTCTACCAACAAAAGCTAAAAAGAAAGCTGATCCAATGACGGATAAAATACGAGAAGATCGTAAACGACGTCGTTATGAAAAAGCTATAGATAAACTTGAAAAATTTAAACTTCAACTTAAACCTATACATGAATATGAATCTGAAAGAAGAATTCTTAAAGAACTTAAGTATGTAAAAAAGAAAGATATATCTTTTTTTGATAAATTTTAACTATTGTTTTAGTATTCGACAGCGTTCATCTGTCGAATTAACATCAGAAGAAACAACTCGTCGATTAATGTTAAATCGTGACTGGGCTAAACATAAACATCGACAACATCAACAAGAAATAACATTTATTTCTCGTGCTCTTAAGTCACAAGAAAGTGCACTTGAACAATTAAAAATTGAAAGCGAAGAACTTTATGAACAAGCTTTACAGGTATGAAAAACAGAAATAATTGATTATGAAAATCTAAATTCTTCGTTTACAATTTATAATTTGTCTCCTTATTGTTCTAATTAACATTCTTGTTTTTTTTTTGTAAAAAACGATTTTCAATACAGTTTTAGAAATAAGGAAAATGTATAATGCATTTAATTTTCGAACATTCTGAATATTAAAGAACAAATCTTCTCAATTGTTTAGCATGTTTTCTGTAGAAATTGTTGCCATTCAATCAGTCTTAGTCAATATTGAAAGAGCTTATTTTGATTTAGTACGTCGGCCTTTTCTTGTTGAGCTAGGAGCGTTTTACTTGATTTTCAGCAAATAAGGCATAGAATTTTATATAAATCTGAATTATTGAATTTCATGCTGCAATATTGATTGTAAATGAACTTTATAGTCATCAGAAACCTTTCAAAATTTGTATTCGCACGAACGCTTACTTACCGAAATATAATTTTCTCATGAAAATATCCATATTTTGAAAAAAGTGTTAAAGAAGTATTGTTTTTAAATAAGAAAATCTCGGTGAGAATGCGTTCATTCTACCTTAAATTTTGACAATTTCTAGTGACTATAATATCGATCTACATTCAAAATTTTAATTCGAACCTTCAATAATCCAAGTTTGTAGAAAATCCTAGACTGATAGGCTGAAAATCGAGTAAAACGACTGTAACTCAACAAGAAAAGACTGGCATACTAAATCAAAATGATCTTTATCAAGATCGATCAAATGACAATAGTTTAAATTGAAAAAGGAGTTAAACAGTTGGAAAAGTTCCTGGTTAGTTAGTAATATTAGTATGAATCATTCAAAACATGATGTACATTCATACTATCAAAATGTTACATAACTCTTTCATTTCGAGGCGTTTTGACTCCATTGGATACTATTTAATCTTCTCTTACAAAATTTTAGAATTTATAAGTTGATCTTTACTCTCAAAGGTTTTTTTATGGTTATAAACGTATGAGTGTTTTAACTGGTAGAGCCCGTCGAGTCCGAGTTCGGAACCAACTCGATGAGCTCTAGTATCTAGTCTTCATCGTATCGGTTGAAATGATTGGACTAGCGTATCTTCAGTGATTAGAAGATATTCTATAGATATGTCATTTTTCTCTGATAAAACGTTTTGAGAGCAACTGTGCTTGTTCTTATCAAAATATTTGGTTTTACAAGCACAATTAAGACTGTGTTACTGGAGTTAAACTTATATCATATATGTTTTTGTAAAGATCAAATTTAGATTTGAATCATTGTTCGACGAGAAACGTTAGGCTTGTCTGAAAACTTTGGAGTTCAGCAATCAGTTGAGGAGTAAATGACTCTTTTTTTTCGTGCAATATAAAGAAATATCATATATTCATCTTTGAGAAACCTAACAGATATTAATGACCATAATATGATATTTGCTCCTAAATATTTGCAAAAACTTGAGTAAACAATGAAAATACATGTTTTTTGAAGCTATTTCCATTAGTCACTTAATAATGATCTAACATATCGATTGAACTAGACCCGTTGAAAAATTCTCGACCGATTACAACTATGAAATGTTTCAATTATGTTTTTTTTTTGTTTGTTTCTTTATATATAAAATCCAATTGTAAAATTGTTATAGGTAGATTCAAAATTAATCCCATTTCTTCGTCGTGGGCCTCTCTATAGTCTTCCAAATCAAAATTATGATGCACCCGATGGTGATTATTTTGATACGACAAATTATTTCACAAAAGGTTTTGGTGTTAATTTCATGGAGCATATGAAAACAATGGAACGTCAAAAATGGACAGAAATTCGAGCTGAAAGACGTGCTAAAAAAGAAGAAAAAGTTGCTGAAAAATAATAAATTTCTTTTCACTCTATTTCTATCTATCTATCTCTCTCTCATATAAATATGGCCTAACTAGTCAAACAATTGTTTTCTTTCATGTTTTAGATATGCTTGTTAAACATCTAGGCAGTTGTCATTGTGGTGCAGTTAAATTTGAAGTTGAAGCACCAGCTGATTTACGTGTATTTCGTTGCAATTGTTCTATCTGTCATAAAAAACAAAACAATCATTTTATTGTGCCAAAACGACAATTTGTTTTATTAACTGGTGCTGACTATTTAACAACATATACATTTAATACTGGTGTAGCAAAACATTCATTTTGTCGTCAATGTGGTGTTCAAAGTTTTTACTCACCACGTAGTAATCCTGATTGTTATGGTGTTATGCCACATTGTATTGATTCACCAACAATAAAATCTATTGAATATGTTGATTTTGATGGTGACCATTGGGAAGAAGCAATGAATAAATGTGTTGAAAGTGGAAATAAAAATCCATTCGATATTAAATAGAAAATAAATGAAAATGAGATGAAGAATTGATTTTTCTTTTCAGATAATTATTTATTAAGTATGACAGTTACGGAATCAGATAGTATTAGTAAAGGTGGAATATCTCGAAAATCAAATCGTGTACAATCAGAAGAAAGCAAAGTTCATCGAGGTATGTTGATATTCTTTTATCAAGAAGAAAATAATTTTATGTTACAATTAAAATTTAGCTCTTGATAATAAAGGTAGTATACATTTGCGGTGCTGTCATTCTCTTTATACGATTAAAAGAAATGTTGTATTGAGAGATAGATTTATCTAGGAATCATGCATATCTATGCAATATTTTTTATTTGAAGGTTTTACTGTTTGTGCTACGGGTACGCCATCGATTCCATCACGTTACTTAACGATTATTTCAAGTAATACTGAAAAAAGAGGCTTTCAACAAACTGCTAAACGTTTTCAATATGATATTGTATATTATGATTTGATTTATTTTCATAATTCGCATTGTAGCTGTTGTAGAATTTTACACCTGGTCCTGGACAATATCAAACAATTCAACCTTTAGATAAACAATTAGAAAAAACCTCAGATTCAAAAAAAGGTTCAGGTGGATTCGCTTCAAAAGTTAGTTCAATTTTGTTTCTTTTGCTTCTTTTTAATATTTCTATTTGTTTACTTGTGTGCATAGAGTAGACGAGAAGGTTTTATGAGTGGTGCATCAAGTGCTCCAGCACCCACTACTTATAATGTTTCGAGCAACTTTACTAATGATCATCGTGATTTTAATCGAGCGAAATATTCAAGTATGTTTCAAAAACCAATTGCTGAACGACCTTTATCGTCAAAATCAACCCTTCCAGCTCCCAATCAATATGATGTTAGTGATTCATTTTGATTTGATTGAATTCTTTATCATCATAATAGATTCGAGAAGGATTAAAACAAACAACAAAATCAAATAATGTTTCAGCTCAAGCAGCTTTTCGATCACATACAAAACGAACTGTTCCAATGAATAAACATTTTATTACACCTGCTCCTGGTTTGTTGTCTTATTTTATCGGTACACACACAACAATAGAATGAATATTTCAGGTACATATAATTTGGATGATTCTACTAAACGACCATTAGGACCTGCTCATCAATCAAGCTTTAAATCAACTTCAAAACGTGATACATTCGACTATCAATCAGGCGTTCAAGTATGTCATAAAATCACATACGTATTTACTATTGTAACGTTTTTTGCTTTTTATTTTTTATTTTAGTTACCTGGTCCAGCTGATTATCGACCATTTGAGAAACCAACAGAAGAACCTCATCGACAATTACTACCGTATGCTGATCTAGAAAAGTTTCTTTTTTCTGAAAATAAAATATTTCTTATTGAAGACGTCGTCATTATTTGACAATTTCTGCAGCAGCTGTTCCTGTTCCTCCTGAAGCTCCATATCCTGGTCCAGGTCACTATGAACTTCGTGATTTTAAAGAAGTTGAAAAGAAATATATGTCATCGGCTGCATTTGTTTCAAATACAAGTCGATGGACTATTAGTACAATGGCAGCAACTGGACAACCTGGTCCATGTACATATACGCCAAGTGTACCTCCAAAACAATCATTTAATTTTAATTTTGAACGAAAATGGATTTGATAATAATCATTAATAATCTCAACTGTGATGAATAACGCTCATTGAATGACTTATGATCTTTTTTTCTACTAATTTTTATTGTATTATATTTTTCGAATGACTTTTTTTCTTTTTGAAAAATATATTCTGAATTCATTGAATTTTTTCCACGGTAATAGAATGTAATTTGATGAAACGAAATGATGCTATTAGCAAAAATCTTTTTTTCTTCAACAATAATCTATAGATGAGAGAAGAATCGTCACTATTTAATCATCTGTTAATATGAAATGTTTATAATATATTTCTGTCGAGAAGACAGTTTCTATTCTTTTAATACATCTTAATATTTGCATTGGTTTCGTTCAATTATTAAAAGTAAATTTTATCTGACATTTTCATTTCACAATTTAACATGATTATTGACCATAACTGACAACTGGTTTTTCGTGTTGATGTATGTATTGCAAAGTGGTTGTATCTGAACAAAATGACTGATGTAAAACTTGCGTCGAATGCCATATTATCACGACTCATGCGGTCTAAATTGATATAGACAAGATGGTCTCGCCCATATCTACAAGTAGGTAAAAAAGTGAGACATTCGAGAGCTAATAATTGAATACACGTACAACGAAGAACAGTAAAATCAAGAAAAAGAATTCAATTTTATTACAGTAGAAATACTTTTTAACTTTTTCAGCATTGTACATTTGGTTCACCTTTTGAACTCACATCATAGATAGAAACAAGCAAACGAGCACTATCATCAGTCGTCGCCGTATGAAAAAGATAGAATGAAAGATCAGTTGTTCACCGGGTACAATTGCCACAATTTTATTTGAATATAATGTTAGTAGTATATGACCTTGATAAGCTCATACAGTGTTAAATTTCCTTCTAGTTTATCTTGAAACCAGTATTGAGGAAATTAGCACAAGTGATGCCGACACATGTGTTTATGCCATTAGCAACAATACGTAAGAAAAGATCATCATGAGTTTGTCGGAAGAACTTGATCAAACTATTGTACATAACACCTAAATTATTCTTCAAACTGATTCTATTTTATTTTTTTACAATAAGAAATCATCTTATGAGTAAAGAGCAAAACAATCTCCAAAAAATCAAAAGTTTATTCACAGCAATAGTATCCATCTGTAAAATGCTTTAATAAGCTACACAACAGTACGATCGGAATTCTATCTTGATGAGCTTTGCCTATAGATATGGGGATCTATCAAGTTAAAATCTTAATCAATTCAAATCAAATCGTCATATATAATTCAATATTGAAGGAAATAGTATTGGCCATTTGTTTCAATGAGCATCATCGTACGGAATTTATCGTTTATTATCATGAAAAATTCATCAAAAACCTTGTCGAACTTAATTATACCTATAAGCTTGGAAAAGAATATCATTGTCATGTTTTGATATGTTAGTAGATTCACTAGAGCGTCTTTGATGAAATACTTAAAAGAACATAATGTGCCATGAAAATGAATACGACCACTAAAATCATCTGTTTTATATGTGACGTTCATTCTGAAAAATATCTTCATCTCCAACACTCCCAATCGCTTAATACGTATTGCGGTCAAAGTTTATTCTAGATTGTTTTTAATAACTGAGGAAATAGAAATTAAATTAATATTTATCAGTAATTTCATATCGATGAGTTTCAATCGAGCAACCTGTGTTTGGTTTGGTTGACTGTGATCGAATTGAAATTCTTTTTCAGTTATCTTTTAGTTGGTCGAGCTCATGAACTTCTTTCGTCAACATATACGACGTTAATTCTTATCAAACAGACGAAGAAAAATTCTACTTTTCATGCATTCTGTAGTTGAACATGACTAAATAAAATAAATTAATCGAAACAATAATCGTCTTTAGCAAGTGAAAGTACTATTGAGAAAAATGGTAATGATCTACAAATCCATGTTCTAACAACAACAAAAATTCCACCATACATTTATGAACAATAAATGAGAAAATCAATTGCGTCATTCATTGATGAAATTTGATTCGTTCAATAAAGCTCAACAGGCTTGTCAAGTCATGATTGATTAAATATTTGATGATCATTAAAGAACAAAAAAGCAAACATTTATCAAATTTTTAAATCGACCTAAAACAATCAAAAGAAATATGCAGAAGTAAATTAATCATATATTCTACATGAAGAATAAATCAACAAAATACCTTATCATTTTAAGTTAATTAAAACAAGAAAATAAAGTATTCAGAAATCTTTTTGAAGAAAATTATTTCTCTCTTCAATGAAAATATTGAGGGAACCAGAACTATCCAACAGTATCATCAGCGAATAATCTGACATTTAAGAAAATGTTCAGATAAGAACTAACCAAAAGACATATTAGATATGTTAGAAATCTAACCGAAACACTCTCTTAAACCTACAAAGGATCTTCTTGTGAATCGATCATGCCTTCAAGTTGAAAAAGTTTGTATACCATATAAATATTTTACAAATTAAATTCATTTCAATACGTTTAAGAAATATGATCAAATCTATAGAGATAATGAAAGCTGTTTGTTATATTCTTAAATTCATCATCTACATTCTATTGAGGCACAGATGTAAATAAGATATAAATTTATTTTCTTTAAACTGCTATTATTATTTGTATTTATTATTTATTAGCAATAATCACAGCATCTATCTGTCAAGAAAAAACATTAACAATAAATTATTATTTCTAAAAATGACACTCGCATCAATCTTTTTCAAAACTTGCTACAAGCACTATGCATGTTCCTGCTACGTAAACATCAGTTGAACGTGTGTTTTCTCAAAGCTGTTTTTAATAAGATAGGATCGTCCAAATTTTTTACAAACGAATATTTTGCAATGAAACGTGTTATACTACATTAAATTAAATGTCAATAAATATCTTTTCGCTTGTAAACAACTTTAAATTTAGATTTTTCTCTATGATAGTTGACTTTTTTGTGGAACTGTACGAAAGAGAAGAAGAGATGATTTTAATGCTTTGACTTTGTCGATAAGACTATATAGTTGTGTTTTTCTATTCCATGTCAGACTGTTCTTATTTTATTTTTGTGCATAAAAATTAGGAACAAATATCATGTCATGAAAAACTTGTTGTTAATGCTCTTTCTCAAAATGAACCGAAAACGAAATCATGACAAAAATAGCTTGACTCGTCTCGATTTGTATGTTATAAGAACTAATTGATCACTTATTATTGTTTTCTATAGTCTATTAATGATACTATAAGCATAAAACTTAATAGTAGTTCCTAATCGTAATTGAACACATTCAAATGCTCCACGTCGATTTCCATTGATTGATGTTTGAAAAGTACAATTGTCTTGTAATGCATAGGCTACAGGGACACGAGACTTGGGTAGGCTCTAATTATTACAAACGATTTCTATTATTGTCTTATTTTTATTTTCTTCTGACAAATGATGCGTTGTTACAAGGTCAGTCCACACTTTATCTAGCACCAACTCGTGTTCAATAAACATAGGCGGCGGAGTCATAAGGCTTAGAAAAACGAAAGTCTATCCTAGATTCATGCTTCGCAAGCTAGGCTAGCTTCAGACATTTTTCTTCTTTCATCACATTGATAGACTTGAGTAGTGCATCACAGCTTTTGTAGAAACGCTAATAGTTTTTGCCGCCTCCGACAGCTAATAATAACATTTTCTCAATCAAACAGACTTAAAAAACATTTTTGAAGTAACATGCAGTTTCATACAAGTAAAAATTGAATCATACATTATCAATGAGCTGTAACGGCCATTCTTCGTTACAAGTGAAGAAGAACTGTACAAAAAATCTGAGACAGATTAACTAGAATCTACAAAATTTTCCTTCACCTTTTTCGGCTAATATTATACGCCTCTTAAACATTTTCTAGAGTGAAGAAGTTCACTATGCAACATTTTTTTTGTAAAATATTTCTAATTCGCTACTGAACTTGTTTTCGGTAAAGTAGATCAAGGTCTCTTCTTTTGAGGGTCGTATTTTGATGAACACAAACGTCTTTATATTTGCTCAAACATGGTTTTTCGGTGAAAGTTGAGAATTTTTTTCTGATCTCCACCACTGTTACATGTTGCAAAATGTGAGTTCGATACAAGAGAGGCTAACTGTATTTAATCTAAGTGACATTCTTCTTTCAATTTTAACTTTCTGATGCTGATTTTATAAAAACAAAATGTTAAGCCTACCCTTGAATCAAAGCATTCTGCTGCTTGGAGACATACATATAAATCACAAAGATACATACCCTATGATAATGACCATTATTAGATGTTAAATATTCATATAGACAAATTTTTTATTTTTCTTATTTATTAATTCAAATTAAAGTATGGTAAAACTTTTTCTAAATTTATATTCAAAATAAAAAATATGACTTTTTACTTTTCAAACTATGATTTCAACATTATTTTCTTCATTTTGATTATAAATTCCTGCTAAAGTCATTGGTTCAGAAATGTGTTCTATGGCAAAACCTAATTTATTCGACAATAATTTTGCATTATCAACATTCAATTTACCAAATTCATAATCAGCAATTAATCGTCCTTTACGTAATAGAGCTCTATCAATAATTGTTAAATCACAATTAAATGNAAATAATTCCTATTTATGAACAATAGATACTGACTGATGAAATAAAGTCGAATGGAGCTAAATAAGAACAGATTTTTAAAATTTTGTATAATTAAGTTTAAATTTCAATAGAAAACCTTTTTTGTTACTAAACATGTATAACAATCGAAGGATCGATGAGTTCGATCGGAAAAACATGACGTGTTTCTTAAAAAAAAATACGTTTTTGTCGAACTCATAGACGAAACAATACTTTTTCTTAGTCGCGAAATTTATTATTATAGTAAGAGATGATGTAGTTTTTAATCGAACAATTTCAAATCTACAAACTTTCAATACAAAAATTCCATGAATTATTTTTTTAAACTGAATTCTCAATGAACTCAATTTGTCTAAAGAAAAT